TCTTGCTAGGCGTTACTGCTTCACGACGGTAATAGGCCGGCTGGTGGTAAATATCCGTGCAAACTCACAAGACGATCTACTGTCAGTAAGAGATTGGGAATGCATTTTAAAATATTGAAAATTAAACAGCCTTCTCCACAGTAGAATTATAAACCCAATCGTATATTAGACCTGAGCACCATTGTCTTGCCGCAAGGTCAGAGTGCTATTACTGTACAAGTCAACTACGATTTATTATAATATTGTAATTTATAAATTTACAAGAGTAACATTAACTTAACCCGACTGTGTTCCATTTTCAATAATTAACTCGGTTACGTCAGACCGGTGTTGTATTATCAACAATGAAATATCAGTGATGCCAACAATAACGAATGATATTGTATAAAGGTTTTTTTTAAATGGATAATTAAATTGAATGAACAATTTAACAGATCCAATGTTTAGCGTATGTATGTAAACATACGAATGCATGCTGCGTGAGTTTTGACATGCCTATAGAAATTGATCCTAATTTGGATTAAGCCATTAAAACTAGATCACAAACAAAAATATACTGGCAATAACATTCAATTTAAAAATTAAAGTCGCCTGCGTTATGACTCAAACAATACGTGTATGTCTCAGTTCAACGTTTTTGTATTGAAGGAAAAACGACCATGCGCTGGTCGGGGTAAGATTGAAATCACCATAATTATAACTGCACATTGTAAAGCTTTACGACGCAAATCACAACTAATTGACGCTCAATGAACGAGGTGAACATCCAGAGAGTCGAGGTCGACTTACTAAGTTACAAAGATTTGTGTTTTATCACTTGTCAATCTTGCTCATAAATGTAAATGCAGTGTACACAATGAAATTATTCCCGTAGCTAAAAGACCTAACCTAAGATTAACGGAAAATGACATACATTTGCTACGTTATAAATACGTATTTCCAACAATCACTTATTTCCCTGAATCTAAGTCGAAGGAACTAGGGGACCCGCTGACCGCGCATATTAGCTCGTTTCGAACTGTACAATACAATAGATACATAGCGTGCAATGCAAACACCTACAATAAAACATTCACGTCGCGATGACAAAGGGCTCCGTTGGCGACTTAGCACTAATAAAAAACACTACCACCAGTCATCGTCAATGATACCGTAGCAGTCTGTAGATAATAATAATGTCTTATTTTCACTAACAACAGCGTATGAACGACGCTTAATAGCGGATTGCAACACTGCTTAACAATTTATGGCGTGCCGAGTAAGTTAACTGAATTTTTAGGAACACGAAAAAGACTCAGATTTTCCCAAAAATAAATCAGAGTGCTGAATGTAGATCTTAAAATTTATCATATATGTAGTAATAAAAAAGTATAGCGTGTAGTTAATGAGAATTTAAATGATTTATTGCATGTTGAGGATTTTAGTTACGAAGCTTGGAAACTATATTAGCATAACGGAGAATCGCGCCCATCTATTGTTTAGAATGACTTATGCCCCGTTGCAGAGAAACTAAGATCTCCGGGCATTGTGTTTGACATCCGCCGATAACACCTACATTTTAAAGAATTAGACTAATCTGGCCGTTATGTATTTTTGTACATTGTCATACGAGTTCGCACTGCATCTTATACTGTCCTATTCTATTCGCGTGAAAGCCGTCGTGATTTAAAACGTTGAATCCCTGACCTATCGACCCGTCAGGGGCTCACAATATGTAATCGAAGCTGCATTTTATGTAACTTCTTCAGGGACATTGGCACACATTTGGACGTTAGCTTTTTTCTCAATTATTTATTTGATTCTACAATAAATGGCCACATATGTATGTGGACATTTTTTAATGAATATTCACTACACTTTTTTTACTTATTAAATTGTTTCTAATATAAAATGAACAAATCGCATTAAAGAATAAACTAAATTTATGTTTTTTTGTACTTTTAAAAATTGGTCCCTGACGAAGTTGTTTGATTTATTTCATTCCGTTAGACTAACACAAACATTAATAGAAAAAGAAATTTCACGAAATGCAACCTTCTCAAACACATTCTCTTAAATCGTAATTTAAATACACCATTGATTGTTGGTTCTTGTCCATAATTTTATGTAGTGCCGTATTCGTTAAAACAAGCTTGCCCGGTGTGACGTGTCGCGCTCGTGAACCTTTGAGAACAGGTTTTACACCAATTTAACAACAAAAATGATCTTTCTCGAATCGGGTTACCAATTTTTAATTAATTAATATAATTCAAATATTTTTAAGCCAGCATCTATCCTACTGTATTAGTTACTTGCTACTTTAGTGAAAGAGATGTAATTGCGGCAAGTAAGGAAAAAGTTGTATAGATTTCAAAGAATAAATTGTAATATAAATAAATAGAATTCACGAAATGAAACTACCATTACTTCGACACCAAGCAAGGAAAACTACTTGAATAATAATAATACATAACGCATTAAATGACAAGTTGTAGAATTATTTTCAACTGCAAGTAGCTCTCAAAGGGGAACACGTATATTACTCTGAACCAATCGAAAATTGGGAGTGACTGCAACGTATCTGGCGGCCATCGATTTCAACTCCGAAAATGGTAAACGCAAGTCGCCGTTGCGAAACAAGGCCCGGCAAAGATTCGAATGTGAGTCAAGATTCGATACGCAACAAGAGAAGCACACATAGTAAAAGTTAACATCACACTACGTTAATGAAAAAAAATTGCATCATAAAAGGTACGCCAGGCTCGAAACGTAAACAAACTGGAAAATTCATTGAGATATACTATGAATTACAACTTCCGTAATAAACATCAGTTATAAACTAAATTTGAAATCTATTAAAATATGTTACACCTTTTGTTTTATTTTACTTAAAAACTTTCATCATCTAGTTTCATAAGACAACTAGTATTGTGTTCTGTATCTGTACAGAAACGTTCCTAGTTCAAACAGCGATTACTTACTAATTTTGTGGTGGTATTTTAAAAGATCGAATATCATCAAAAACAGCTTTAGTAAAAAGTTTCTCGTTCAACAGCCTCGAGCTAGAATTTTATCTCGTAGACCGGGACACTGAATTTGAAATATGTTTAATATACGTAAGTAAAAGCTCTTGTTGCATATATAAGAGCTTTTCTTGAGTTTCTTTTGTCTTGCCGTGTTATTAACAAAGCCTAATTAACAGATGTCAAAAGTAACGGTGGTAAGATTAAAAAAAACTGAATAGTTATTCTGATCAAGAAACTGCCCGTTTTGTATTTATTTTTTTGGCTTCAAGTATGGCTATTACTTGTGTTTTTGTGAAATGCAATGAAACAAAACAATATTCAGTTATAATGTCATCATATTTAGACAGTTATTCTGAAGAGTATTGAATTCAGGACCACGTATTAGAGTTTAGGGTTACTAACCACAAGACTAACAAAGTAATTTGTCAAATATTGGCATTCTAATTTGGATGCATTAAAGATCCGCGAATGTTCGCTTTAATCTTCAACTCGACAAAATTATAAATACTATTACAACAACAACAACAACAAAAACACTTTTACCCACACACAAAACTTTTATATCAATGGAATCATTACGGACAGCCCAGTGGTGTCCTGTTGATATGATATGCGGTGCAGCGACACCATAACTCAATACATCAATTAAAACCGCAAATACATCAATATTTTGTTCGTTGATGAGATTAACGTGCACTAGAGCAGCGATAAATACCTAGTCTGTTTAGGATTTTCTGTTTCAAAAAAGCGCTTTATAGATAATTCACGCATCACAATTGAAGTGAATAAATAAAAGCGATTACAAAAAATGACACATTATACATACATATATAACCTTAGTCATACACTTGAATCAATGTTTTAAGAATATTTTGAGGCAACAAGCCTTTGTTCGTTCAACAATCAAAGAAAACGGTGAGTCATATTCGTTATCTACAATTATATCTGTGTATATACTGAGCGTTATCTGTAACAGTCGCCACAACATAACTCTTCGATAACAATACACAAGAATTCGTTTGGTTAATAATAGATACATACGCATTTAAGAAATGAAATTCTCAAAAATGTACGGCACATACAAAAAGGGCAATTGTTGAAAACAAATGTATTACAAATTTTCTATCAAACATTTGCTTTTACCTAAGCACTGTCTTCTATTCTTTATCTAATTATTTAATTGGTATGATTAAACCACCTATTAATTAATCACTTTTCTCCGAATTCAAACCGCTTCTTTTTCAGAAGAGGTGTTTAAATTTTTCCTGCGTAAATGGTAATTTAATTAAATCGTAAGTCGTATTCATATAAGACCCCTTAGCGTGATACCACCAGCAGAGTGATCGAAACATAAATCAAAAAACTTGTGTTTGGTCTAAAATGTTGCTATGGATAAAATAAAATACATAAGTAACGCATCGTTGCTGGACTTTCAATTACTGACAGTCTTATCAGTAGAGTAAGCAATGCTCCTAATTAAAATTTAAATTTGACAATAATGTGTTCGATAACACACTGAACGTAGCCCCTGCTAAAATAAATTATTAAGTATTAGGTTAAGACGATCGAAGACCAGCTCGGGTCATCTGGTGGCCCTAAAGATCTCGTCGTAATAAAATCATGATAAGAACATGGCAACTACCTCGATGATGTCATTGTATTATTTATACACATTTTATATAATAAAAGAAGCTGTCCACTGGTTGTTGCATGGTAATCGGAGCCCATAGAACCACGACCTCAACGTTTCCATCAAGCCTGAGATACAGATAATGACTGACTGAAGAAATTAATGAGTAAATTGACAGCTTCGTGGCAGATATGGGTAAAATGATGGTACCCATCGGCGTAGGCTCACGATACGCCGTACTATCATTTCACTTCCTTTACTACATAAGTAGTGAAATCAATAAGTAATAAAAACAGTGTTATTGTAAGTACTATATTTTTTTCCCTCTCATACAAAATTTAATTTTGAATCATATGTTTCCCCAGAAACTGGACGTTTTGGAAGGTGATCTGCCAGATTCAACAACCGAGCTAATTATAACCGGAGCCGAAGCTGTCATGTTCGGCATGAACTCCCTGTCAAGACTCAAGGACGCCCGCCAAATACATGTAACTGGGCCGAAACTTCTAGTCATGAGGAAGTTCGCAGCAGTCAATATCAACGTAGTCAACATGTATCTTGATATAGACAATGTTGATCTAGTTCGCATCGAAGAGAGGACTTTCAGCAACATTGAAGGTAAGCTATTCTAAAATGACCTCCTGCAACAGTGCGAATGTAAACCCGTATCAGCTGCAAATTGCGACCTAGTTTTCTATGTCCATAGTAACTGGTTTAATGTGAACTTTGTTAAATCTGGATTTAAATACAATTTCTGTACAATTCCGTGCAGGCACGAACATATTAGATATTTCTTAAATACTTTGTAGTTATTGGAACGTCTACCTTATTTACCGGACCACTTATTAGTTGGATCGGAGATTCTAGATAACTTATATTATTACACTTTCATCGGATTCTACCAGGTTCAGCCAGCGGTGTTTACCACACTTGGAATGATTATGCAAGCATCAGTTGTGAGCTTTGATAAATCGAAAACTTTCGAAAGGTGCTGATATTGACTGAAGACCATTTCTGTCGCAGTTACCTTCGAAAATCTGAGGGACTTTGCAAGTGGATCGTTAGCATTATAGAGGGACAGTGAATCAATTTAGAATACGAGGGTTCCTACTCACATAGCATGACCATTAACAATGGTGTTCCAGTAGATTCGGTTCCCTCCTCGCCTCCATTGATATGCTATCTTCCTATGACATGCATTCTCACGCGAATGTTAATTTGGGAGAGTAGTGATAGACCAGGCACCAGTTTTTCTGGAAGCGTGGTCTAAGATAAACTGGTCTAAGATAAGCGTTGTCTAAGATAATCTAATCTTTTAACATAACAGAAATCGCCATCTAACAGCCGCGTTCTATGACTTTTCCATGATCATTCTTGCAATTTGCCTTCCGTACCGTACGTTCGTCCCTCGAATGAAGCCCCCTACTATGTTTTCTGACCACTATGAGGCACCCTCCTTGAAACGAGAATTGAAAGAGCCCGCAACAGTTGACGGATCGGCTATGCTCCTAATATTCATGACGTTGATGAGAGACGATATACATCCATCATCAACTACGCTATATTCTCGTATTTCTTCGCAAGTGATATAAAAAATATCCTTTTATACATAAATTTATACACAAGCATTTTTTACTGGTACGAGGTAGGACCTCTTGTGAGTCCGCGCCGCTAGGTACCACCAACCTGCCTATTTCTACCGTGAAGCAGCAATGCGTTTCGGTTTGAAGGGTGAGGCAGCCGTTGTATATACATACTTACTAAGTATAGTAAGCAGTTAAGTATATAATATAGTTTTATATACTATACTTGAGACCTTAGAACTTATCTCAAAGTGGGTGGCGCATTTACGTCGTAGATGTCTATGAGCTTCAGTAACCACTTAACACCAGGTGGGCTGTGAGCTCATCCACCCATCTAAGCAATTAAAAAAAATATTTATCCAAAAAAACTATTTATCTTATTTATAGATATTTGTGTGAGTTTTATCTTCCATACGGCAAAAATATTTCTGTATATATTTGAACTACTTTCTGCATATTAATAAACCTACGTAGTTCTGTGAATACAAGCTACATTCACTACCAAAATAACTTAACAAGACAATAAAATAGGTTATTTAGTTTAGCTACGCGGTTTTTATTTCAAAATGCACTGCAGAATCTCAAGTTTTAAAGTGGTTTATATTACTGTTCCTCTTAATAAAGATTATTTGTGGCGGTGACTAAGGAGCTCATGGCTCTTCTGGTGTTAGGTGGTCGCCGGAGTTAATAAACGTCGTAATATGGATGAAGCCCTCGTATTATTATTTATACATATAACGATTGTTTCACCCTTTAAGCCGAAACGCAGTGGAATTTCGCAGTGGACAGGACATAGACAGGACAGTCGCAACTGCCCGTGTGGGTATTTTTGCGCACAACAAACTATAAGAAAAGAAATGAAATATTTCTTCGTGTTCCTCCAAATATGTCCGTGTACGTATTTGAGTCGTCTATTATCAAAGGTGGCAATCTGTGCATTTGGACAAAAAAATGTTATTGATATGGCAATAAAGATTGATTTGAATATAATCGTCTCCTTCAAAGAATACGGTTCAAAACCTGCATTAAATAAAGTATTAATTTAACCTTTTATTTATCTAAGATGTCGTTCAGAAGAGTTTTGTGACTGCCAATGGAATACAAAGTCAATAATTCGTTTTTCTGATTTACCAATAATTGTCCAAAAGTCACATTGCCGGCTTTGTTAATAGTCGACTCATTTCTTACATCGTGTGGCCAAATATTTTAAACGATTATCCGTTATTGAATCAGTACAAACCAAATTTTAATTGTTTTTTTTTTAGTTTTTGATTATTTGATTGATACAATGTTTACTCGTAAATCAATTGCATTTAACGCAATTTCCATAAACATTTATGAAAGATTACAGAGGTTTACATCACCAGTGAACGTGATCTGCCTGCAAAACTACATACTTTAAACCACGTGTTTTCTATCACTACCCGCTCCGCAGAATATATTTACGTACAAAACATCGGTAGTATGTACAACACACTTTTTATAGATTTATGTCTCTATATAAAACGAAACTTAAATAGAACCGATAACGGATTGTTATTGGAAATAAATTCTCATTCACAAAGGATACACTTTTACATTTTTAAATTAAGTGTTAAATACCAATTCTAAATATATTTATTGTACTTTCTTAACATCTGTTTATTGATTTCTTCAATGTTAAATTAAACAGAAGCCGAAATATTTGAGCTTAATAAACATAATGAGCCGATCGAGGTCTCGCTTCCCGATTGACAAAAATGCATTGTATAGAAACTGTATTACACATAGGTAACGGACTGACGCGTGAATCTCTCAACACTTACACTAGGTACGTGTGTTAGAAGGCAATGCAAGCGTCACAACACAATCGTTTAGGTGAAGATAACTGGTTTGTCGAGAGTCTGGACGGCCGCAAATACCGGATGGACACGATTATCGGGTCGTTCGTCCAATTTCGAACTAGATGGCCGTATTCACTATTTTATTATTACCGACAAACAGATCTGTGTTTAATACGTAGTCCACCCACAACACAGCTTTAGTGTTCTAATATCGCGCATATAAAAATCGCTACGAGTAATAAACTCCGCTGATTGATTGCGTTTTAGTCAATTCTTGAATTATTTAAGATATAAAAAAAAAAAACGCAGAGGTACCGACGAAATTATATTATAATGTAAAAATAAACGAATTAAGAACATTTGTTGGCGTTTTAAGACGAAAACCATTTATTGGTAGACATTGTGAAATATTTGTGAATGTAATTTACGCAACATGTTGACTGTTTAGCGTTCTGAACAGCGCGGTAGGATGTAAACGTAAGTAGAACTGGTTCCAGTACCAGCAGCTACTTGTGTTTTACAAGTGGTTTTAACGTGCACTAACACTGAACACGATCCCGTGAGAAAAATACTTTGTATATTATACATTGGCACTTATTTCGTAAACTAAAATACATTTATTTACACTGTAAATGTAATTAAACACACAAAGTAGTAAACATACTTTATTCGCTTTTAGTTTTATGACGAGACCGTAAAATGGTATAATTGTGTTTAGTTTGTCATATTTTTAGTTTCCATTATTCCAATGTACTATATACTGTTCCTATTTGAGTCGTCTATTATCAAAGGTGGCAATCTGTGCATTTGGCCAAAAAAATGTTATTGATATGTCAATACAGATTGATTTGAATATAATCGTCTCCTTCAAAGAATACGGTTCAAAACCGGCATTAAATAAAGGTTAATACTTAACCTGTTATTTATCTAAGATGTCGTTCAGAAGAGTTTTGTGACTGCCAATGGAATACAAAGTCAATAATTCGTTTTTCTGATTTACCAATAATTGTCCAAAAGTCACATTGCCGGCTTTGATAATAGTCGACTCATTTATACGATTTATAATTCTATTACGAATATCCTATTACGTTTTAAAAGAATTTACGTTGTTTGACAGCTTGCAGCATGATTTTAGATTCAATGTAATACAAAATTGTTTCAAACATTTTTTTTGTGTCAGACCCGCATGCCTGTTATAAACGCGCAGAAACCCAGTAGGATCTTTTAACTGATAACGCAAGTTGTGAATTCTATCTCTCTATTTGAATTATCATTTAGGGTCATATGAAATACATAATAAACAAACATAATTATCTCGCCTTCGTGGAAGAAAGTCTGTGAGTCGCAGACAACAAAACCGTTCATTATGAGAGAAGATTATCTACCACATATTCCAATACTTCAATACAAACGTATTATTCATTTAAAGCGTTTGTCTGTAGTTCTGTAGTAGGGGCAATGCGCCGCATCGATGCGCCATGGCGACATGTGGACAGAAGCTGTGACAATTATGACGCACGAATCGCTCAGACGGAAAAAAAAACATTAAAACTTTTTCTGATCACCAATTTACATACCGGCAGGCCGTAAACGATTATTATTCAACTATTTCCTTCAATGTATTTTTATACATATACTAGGTCGATTCGGAAGGCAAGAACCCAATTTATATTAGCCAGATATAAATGCGAAACAAGAAAGCAAGTTGACTATTTCATTCTAAATATTGTCATGTTTGATATATAATAGCTTCAAGGACATAATAAAATTATTAAATTATCATAAATATTTTATTATTCAATTATAAATTCATAGCTTTCATCTAGACATTGATATGGCTCCTCGAAATACCAAAATGTAAGTGACTAGAATTAACAATTTTGTTTTTTTCGCTAATTAGCATGATTGCTATTAGAACCTGCTGGTGTAGTTTATGAATATAACCGAAAGGTTAGCTCTGCGGGAGTATTACTTCTATGCTGGCATTCAGGAAATGTTTACTATCTCCCGAAATACACTACATATTTCCAAACTTACACGAAGCTAAAAATTCAAGTGTTTCTAACGGAGGTAGGTATCTCTCGTGGTTCCACACAGAAAGATAAATGTTAATTGTTCAATAATTTGTTCATAAAAATTGAGTATGAAGTACACATATACCATTAACATGAAAAGGTATACTCGTATAGTACAAAGAATAATTCAATTAAACTTTTTCCGATCCAATGTTTTTTTTTATATTTATATCTTATAATAAAAAAGCTGGATACATGGATGCATAGCGGTGTAGGCATTACCGTTCATGTTTGAAACTTCAAAGTATGACCAAGTGTAAGCGATAAAGATCGCGGTAGCACTGCGCATTAGTGATGACTAATTCTGGACTATTTCTGTATGCCTTTTCCGCCTAAACACATCGACAATCACTATGTGTACCCTTTTATGCTGATTAATAGTTCAAATAGGGTAATTGTTTTTGTTAAAATAATTTTTGTTTTGTTTTCTTGTCTTCGAATCGAGTAACGTCCTTATCAGTGAGTAGTATGATTCCTTGTCCTCATCATGCCTACTATTAATTGTTAACCAAACTATGCGCCACAGCCGAATAGTTGCCAACCTCTGCAAATCAATATCCAAATCCTCATTCAAAAAGCACCATGAGCTTATCTTATTTCAAAAATGTTTTAAGAGAAACGTGTTTGCTACGAGTAACTTTCTTACTATGTAAATTACACGTGGTTAATGCATTTAAACTTTTTATGGCTCAACAACATTTTTCACACTTAATAGTACGATGTTTTCATATTAAATTAACAATTTGATGTTTTGCAAACGCGAATATCATTGTAAAAGCGAATTTTCGTATTTAGATATTATTTGTTTTTAGTAAAATTATTATTATGTCTAAAACAGTTTATTTCATCCTGAGGTCGAAATGGTATAAGTATAATAAATGTCACCAACCTTATTATTCGGGCATCCCAAAGCAACCAAGCTATCTGTTTTGAAAGCTATTGTTCGTATTTAATAAAGACTTCGACGTCATATCAATAAATAAATGTTTGAGAATCGGTGGTGACATTTAGATTATAGTGTCGACATTCCCCTGTTACCTTTCATCGCTTCAAACTAACGCTACCCCATTTTAAATACTCGCACAATAACATTACAGTGTATTACAGTAATAATAATTGAAATTTTTATTAATTTTTATTTTATTTACCTCCACCCTCCTAGTAATTTGAATAAAATCATATCTTTTTCTATTCTTTGATCCAACAGAATATTAATCTAATAGAAGTTGGTGTGGTAGTAACAAACAATTTACAGCCCCTAACAATGTGTATGATTGTTGTTTTTTTTCAATTATCAACTCGATATATAAATACTACATTTGTAGACGTCCTAAGTGCAGGTTGTTGGGAACCAGTTGTATCGGATGCGATGCAATCTTATCTGGATTTGTATAGAGACCAATCTTAGAAGACCTATAAACATCTTAAAGGTTTAAAATTTATAAATTTACACGAGAGATCTTCGCGACTGGACAAAGCATAGTTGTTTACGGTAAATACCCAAGTTTTGAAATCGAAGTTCTAATGGTCAGTGGGATTCTTGTAGCAGCTTAGAAACTTAGAATTAATTATGTATGCCTAAAAGAGCATTAATTAAAAACATGAGCAATGAAAAAAGATATTAAACATATTTCAAATCGAGGACAGCAAGGCGATAGGTGGACGGCAGGGAGCGTCCGTCCGCGGTTTCTCTTCTAAAAATACATCCGTTTCCCCGACTTGGTATTCGTGCAACAGGATAATGACTCACAAAACAAGAAGATCTGCTGTTAAATATTGTAATATATTTTAGACAATAGTTTTGAAAAGTAAATCATTGGTTGTTTTTGTAAGACACTAGCTGTACCCGTCCGCTTTGCTGGGCATTTAAAATTAACATTATTATTTCTCACCCCCACAAAGATTCTCATCATTAACACCCCCGCCACTGATGTAGGGAGTCCAACACTCATATAAATATTAGCCTATCTATTAAGTACATGTATTTTCTACATGGATACCAAGTTTAAAATCAATCGGATGCACGGTTCAGTAGTTATAACGGAACATCCGTAAAAAACCACTGTAGATTTATATATTAGTATAGATAAAATAATTATAAGGATCTCTCTATTGAAATTCGAAATATATAAAAATATTTCGCTAATTAGATCATACATATTATTGTTTCCATTTTCGTGTTGGAAACTGAGGATCATTTGTAAGTAAGTCTGAAGGTGTTTGGAGCATCGTTTTAAATAATGCATTCTCATTACAGGTCCACTTTCGGTGACGATCAAAAATTGCGATTTCGTTTCACTCGAAGGAGAGGCATTCTCCTGGCTTCTCACGATGAACATCATAGATGTTCGAAAGCTTGACTTGGGACCAGGAGCGTTTATGTTAGATAACACAGCAGCCAATGTCGGCGAGCATGGTCCTGGCATGTCGGTCAGTATTATAACTATTGTGTTTCAACGCGCTTTAGCGAATTTTAATACGCGAATTGATTCTTGAGGCGAATTTATCCATTTTAATAACACTTATAGGTTTATTTCTGATTGCTTTCTCCAATGTATTATTTTCTCTTTTCAGATTGAGTTAAAAAATCTCACGGTCCCAGAATTTCCTACTCAAACATTTGGGTCGTCCGCTGCTAGAATTACTATGGAATCGATAGAGGTGCACGGCATACGCACCGGTGCATTTTCAGCGAACACATACAATATTGTGATGGCAGTCAACTGCTCTTTCCATCTGATTGAAGAAGAAGCATTTACTCAAAAGTCCCTTATCAATCATTTGCACTTCATCGGTTGTCGAATTCAACAGTTGGCGTCCAAGGCTTTGCTTTCCGCAGTAGGAAACCTCAACATATCGGACTCACGGTAAAAATTATTTATCTTAATTTTGTAAATAGTAGGCACCAAAACTTTTGTTGTTCTGATGATTCAATTACCCTTTTCTGAATTCAGCAATTAAAGTGTTATAGTTAACATTTTATATTTGTGAATTTCAGGCTCGATAATATCAACACCGGTGCTATCAACACCACAGTAGCATCTGTGATCATCCTCAACACCGAATTCCATAAATTTATGGAGAGAGGATTCGAGTTGTCTTCCTGGAACAAATTACGAATGGAGAAAAACTCATTCGACGAACTGGTACCTAATGCGATTGCCGCTCCGGATGCAGCTATACACGAACTAACTTTTGTGGACAACGAAATTGAAACGATACATCCGAATAGTTTAGGATTTATAGGTCAAGCAGAAGCTCATTCTGCTAACAGCATTAAATACAAAAATAATTACTATGGTGAACGATGCCACTGCAACATTAGTCAAGTACTAAAACGATCCCTTAACGTGGTATCAATAGAACCATACGAATTTGAGAGTTACTGTACTGTCGATGAATTCTTCGCGCGTTGCTTTAACGAACCTGAACAGAACATGTTATTCAAAAAATTTCTCGATGGCGTATGCACTGAAAAACCAACGGTTCAATGTGAAACCTTTAAAACCAAATCAGAAGGAGAGCTAGTAGAGATAAAGAACCCACGCTTTCCTCATAAAAATACCCAAGAAGAAAGCGGTATAAGCGAGAGAGACAAAAAAATTATTGGCATAGTTATTGTCACATGTCTCATATGCGTCATAATTGCAATGTTCGTGAGTTTCATTAAATGTCTACGACGACGTGGTAATTGTGTCAACATCAAATCATTTCTATCGACAAACTCAAGTTGCGGTGCGTTTTGCTCAAGGATTTGCCTCTGTAATGGAAGTGCGGGGCTTGATAATGCGCGTTCTATTTCTCAATTATCAGTAAACGAATACTCGGAAAGACATCGATTGAATGAACCTCGTACTCCACAGGAAATCATTCAAGAATCAAACCTACAGGACGAAGCAACTGTTCCAGTTATTGATAAAACAACCCAAACATTACCCGAGGAATTAACTAGGGAATTATTAGAAAATTTGAAAGAAAAATTAGATAATCCAGATAACTACACTGAGGCTCGAGAAATGATAGAACACTTGTACGAGATGACCAAGCTACAAGAAAACGGTGGAAGGAATAACACTCCGACGTTGATTGATGTAGAGGAAAATATCTATGAACTTCCATTCCAGAACACGGCCCCACGTTTAGGGAAAAACAATAAGACAATGGTCAGCGTGGGCACACGAACTCCATCTTTAGATAAACTTTCGCCACTTTCACCATACAACAGAGAAACCGCTTTGGCCCACGAGTATTTTGAACCTCAAGATATGGCAGTACACTTGTACGCGGAAATAACAAACCCCGAACGAGAAAAACGAGGATTGCTTGGTGCCATGCCGGATGTAATTGGAGAACAAGCGATGCCGCGTGGACCATATTTACGGGCTGTCATGAATACTAGCGGTGTTTCAAGCCCTTCGGCAAAATCTCTCAGCAGCTCCACTGGCAGCCCACCTTCTTCCTCGACTGCACGCTCTCATGAATCAACAACATCTTCGGGATCATCTCGTAAAATGATCAACCGACCATTGCCTGCCAAACCTCATAATGTTGACTCTGTAGAGACGTCTACTATAAAGCAAGGTTGAGTGCTAGCCCCGTGGCCGCAGGTAACGGTCCACGTTGGCAGAAATGAAGCTCGATTTGCGAACCGTTCCCAGAGTCCCCTGCGGCCACCGGCTATGAATACTGGTAACTTTTACCTGGACTTGGATCCTTGTGTAACCGGATGACATCACCGTTCTCACATCAAGCTGATGAGACAACGGCTACGCATGTTTATGCTTAAAATTTTATTTGCTGTGATATTATTTTTGATGACTATACTTTATTTTTATTATATGTAGAGCGATTGTGTTGAAATGGGGTTATTACACTGAGTTGTAAATAATTATTTTGTAATTAATTTTAAAGTTTAGCTGAGACTACTGATTGTGTCATCTCAAGCGATAACAAGAGGCATTTGTGTTATTTGAATAAGATCACGGTTCATAGAATATTGACCGTAGAGCATATTTATATTTTATTTATATTTTTATTGTATTACGTATACAATCACTTAGTAAGCTGTATTTGAAAACCGTGTCACCATGTTGTGGAGTATTTTTTAAAGTACCATTTCGATTATAATTATAATCAGTCCATTTCAGAATAACTAAATCATATTTGTTTTGAAAATCATAAATTTTCCACTAGATAAAGAGTTAGTAGGCAATGTGTGTTATAAACATCATTTCTCAAATGCCATTCATAAATATTAATTTGAAAATCATGATAAATTGAGAATCATGACAACCAGGCGATCTAACGGACGAAATGTGTAGGCCATAATACATTGAAGCAAATTAAAAAACACGAAAAAAAAGGTGTTAGAATAAGATTTTAGAGTTAAAATTTTACCCAATTATTGTTCAGGCTCTAATTACATATTTTCGTCCCAAAGGTTAGTGATTTAATTTTGAGTCTCATTTATTTTATTGTAGATAAATATTTGCCCAAAATCGTATATTTCTAGATGTCTTTTCTAGTTTTTAATGAAGGTGTTCCCTAAAGCATATAGAGTTCTGCTTTAAAATATCCAAATTACCTAATCCTATTGATAGTAATTGTTACCTATTTAAAATTAGCATTTAAGATTACCATTGTCGTTTTAAATTTAGTATTTTCGTCTATGTAGTTTATAATAACCTTGCATTCAATATAATGTGTAATGTAAAAAGGATTAGATTCAATATTTGTCTTTTCACATTGTAGTTATTCACATATGTTATAAGATAGTTGGTGTAATAAAAATCCAGTATCATAAACTGATAATTATGTTTCAGAAGTGTATATAAGATATTAGAGCATTTGATTTCTAAACATCAAAATTAAACAATGCGACAATTGGTCGATAGTCGATAGTCTATATAATTGTTAATTACGTGTTAGTATTATATGCATTAGATATTAGCAAAATCTTAACTTTTCAAAATCAATTTGATCTTAAGCGAAGGCTTCGTCGGTATAAAATAAAATTCATATATGTATATTGGATATTGGTGTATTTTAACGTTCTTTGCATTAAGTGTAATTTGCAAAAACTTCATGTAACATCACATTAAAACCTACTGATTAATGTTCGTACTATATACTAAATACTAATGTATATTTAACGTGCTAAGCGCTGTCATATGGAAATTCAACATAATAAATTTAAAGAAAGTAACAATGTCACTGTTACTTTATTCACAAAGAATCGTACATTCGATGTAGCATAATTTACTCTTAAATTTACGTAAACATATGAGAACTTTAAACTCTATGGCAAATTCGTAATGTTATATAAACTTAAAGCTATATATTATACTCGTATGTATTAAATAAAAGTAATTTAACTTCAAAACGTCATATACTTCTATTGTATGACAAGTTTATTCCATTGATGTTGAATTTTAAATTAATAAATGTTGGATGTGATCAACTGTTGTTTCTTTCTATCCGGTAAAACTCACATAATAAAACCGTCATACAGCCAAACCAGAGATCAAGGAAATTTACATATTTGTATCTAATCTAAACACTTTGGCTAGGATCTAATAAACTGATTTTTTTTCGTGCATAGCTCTTACACTTGGTATCTATAATCGAATCTTGAGTTACTTATGTAGGCATATTATACCAATTATTATGACTTTAGTCTTTGCGTCCAATCAGAATCAGAGGTGATCTCATATTACAATTAACATTGACAATTTCCAAGCCATAGAACAGATCTAAAATTCTATCAGGATATTTCAATTTTTTTTCATTGCACCTGGAACTCTGACCATAGATTTCAAATTAGGGTTCAAATTAGGATAGCATTCACATTGTAATTTTTATATGGTTCGGAACATATTTATTTCTAATACTGGTGGTAGGGCCTGTTGTGAGTCCGCGCGGGTAGGTACCACCACCCTATCTATTTCTGCCGTGAAGCAGTAATGCGTTATGGTTTAAAGGGTGGGGCAGCCGTTGTAACTATACTGAGACCTTAGAACTTATATCTCAAGGTGGGTGGCGCATTTGCGTGATGTCGATGGGCTCCAGTAACCACTTAACGCCAGGTGGGCTGTGAGCTCGTCCACCCATATAAGCAATAAAAAAAATCACAACAGAAATATATCATGATGTTCTGCGATAGCAAGCTTTATAAAATAACGAAATAATAAATGATAATAACTATTATACTTAGTCTGGCCATAAATGCTGTTACAATTAAAAATAATCAAAATATTACATTTGAATTCAGAATCTGTCATTTTTATATGATTGCTCATTGAGTTTTCTCATTTTGACGCCAATACATTTTACAATATTTTGCAATATTAAAATGGAGTGGGGTGATAAAGAGAACCGAATCGCTGTGATTGCATTACACAAAGTAGGTATGGAGCCAAATGCAATTTTTAAAACTCTCCATACGCTTGGTATTAGTAAAATGTTTGTGTACCGGGCTATTAATAGGTGCAATGAGACCTCCTCTGTTTGTCACAGAAAAAGATCTGGCCGTCCACGTAGTGTTCGTACGAAAAAGGTGGTCAAAGCAGTAAGGGAAAGAATTGGAAGAAATCCTGTCCGAAAGCAAAAGATTTTATCTCGGGAGATGAAGATAGCACCTAGAACCATGTCGCGTATTTTAAAAGATGACTTAGGACTTGCAGCCTATAAGAGACGTACTGGTCATTTCTTAACTGATAATTTAAAAGAGAATAGGGTGGTAAAATCGAAACAACTACTGAAGCGGTACGCAAAGGGTGGTCATAGAAAAATTTTGTTTACGGATGAGAATTTTTTTATAACTGAGCAACATTTTCACAAACAAAATGACCGTATTTATGCTCAAAGCTCTAAGGAAGCTTCCCAATTAGTGGACAGAGTGCAACGTGGGCACTTTCCGACTTCAGTGATGGTTTGGTGGGGTATTAGTTATGAAGGAGTGACTAAGCCATACTTTTGTGAAGTTATCAAAACATCGGCACAAGTGTATCAAGATACCATTCTTGAGAAGGTAGTGAACCCCCTTAACAACACCATGTTCAAAGCTCAGTCTACGCAGTCTTGGTTGGAAACGAACGTTTCAGGCTTCATCAGAGCTGAAGACTGGCCGTCGTCTAGCCCAGATCTTAATCCGCTGGATTATGATTTATGATCAGTTTTAGAGAGTACAGCTTGCTCTAAAGGCCATGATAATTTGGAGTCCCTAAAACAATCCGTACGATTGGCAGTGAAAATTTTTCCCATGGAAAGAGTGCGTGCTTCTATTGATAACTGGCTTCAACGTTTAAAGGACTGTATTGCAACCAATGAAGACCACTTCGAATAAGCTTTTTATACTTTAAATTGTTTTATATTTATGTATTAAACTAACACACTGTAAAAGTAATAAATGTTATTTGCAATAGAAATTTTATTTTTTCCTTTGTAACAGTATTTAAGGCCAGACTTAGTATTGTATTTCATTAGAATAAATCCTTTCGTGTCCATTTGAACAGTGAGTGGCAAGGAAGTCTAAACAAATTAATTATTTACAAACGAACATAAATGAATATATTATTACGTAAACTGACGCTTTCAAATAAAGCTCGTGTCCGAGTATTGAAAGCCTGGATATCGTCTTCACTCGAAGAAACTAACGTTAAGTCCGACAGTTTACACGATTTCCGACCTTTCTTTTTTGTGGATAAAGTCGCAACCGTAGTTTTGAAAGTTTTCGAAGCGAGTTGTTTATGTCTGAGGTTAATTAATTTCAAAACAAACTAACTCACATACCCCGGATTTAAATCTTAAGTTTATATACCCCAAAGAAGAGTAGAAGAACGCAGCTTTCGGACATGTAACTATAAATAAACGTTCCGTTATTTGAATGAGTTACAGAACAGATGAACGATACATATCCCAAATTCTATATATTTATCAAAAAACCGATGGATAATTCATACCGAATACAATTACTATTATCTAATAACAAAACCACAAGCTCAAACTATTGCGATTACTTTGGCTTCGGATAGGATATCACGTTAATACGAAAAGGCAAAATTAACAGTTCTTATACTAAAATGAAGTTTTAAGAGATCAATCACTGAAAATTTTCAAAAAGTAATCTTCAAGTTCGTTAATATAAATATTTTTCTTTAACATCCAAGGACCGTAGAAATATAACATTCTCTTTGTGAATTACCAATACAACTTCGATACCAACAAACAAGAACAACCAGTGTCAAAGAATAATGCGACTATATTTGCTGTTAAACTTCCGGCGGTAAATATCTAGACACCAGAAGACATCTTACGAAACATACAGAACAATATAGACATAAACGTATTCACATCGGTGACAACTTATTGAGTATAAAAGATATTAAATCAACAGGCAATTTAACTACATCGATTGTAACAGCTATTTACATACGAGTATATTCCCTTTTAAAATTTGTCATTACAATATTAAATGAAGAGTTTCTAATATAGTCAAAACGAATGGACAAAAATCGGAGCCCGTTGTCAGAAAATTAAACTTCAATTCCCTAATTAACACATCAACACTGTCTGCGAAGCTATTTTGGGTTAATAACCATAACTTAAAAAGTATTGGCCACGTAAAATGTATATGTGAGTCTGATCCTGGCACCTTTTTCTTCCGTTTGAATACCAATTGAAAAAACTTGATGGAAGCCGTAACAGTAAATAATGTTTATCAAGGTTGGAAACATGATATTCAACTATTAAAAGTAAACATTTCAAATAGTAATTGGTCCTAAGGTATTGAAGAGATATTTGCAGCAATTTTAATAATTTACCTCAAAATTAGTCTAGACCAGACCCCAAGAAAAAGGCAAAAAAAAAACAAATAAGACCGAACAAATACGATTTTCGGAAAAATGTTCTGATTCTATATTTGTTAATTGAATATAGTTAGTATTTTGGAAAATAAACATGAATTTATTCGATAGTTTTTTTTTTTTTGCTGTGGTATGGCGGACTATAATCCCGCGCCGGTAGCTACCACCATCCACCTTCTTTTTGTGGCAAAGCAATCATCGGTTCCAGTTTAAAGGGTCAGAAATTTACAGGTAATAGTGAATCACGACATTCACGTTGTGGGCTGCAGCAAACACTTTACAGCATGATCCGCAAGCCCGTTCCCGCATTTATGCATTTTTTTTTTTATATTTTGTATTTTCCATATTTGATTTTCTAATCACATTTCAAAGTTTATTCCTTCTGTACAAAACTTAATACTTTTCATTTAATAACAAAACGGTACATATCTATTTTATATAATATTTTTTTTAACATTTTAGTAATATTTCAAGTTACCCAATGACGTTCCGGTTTAATGTCTGACACGAAACGATAACAATATAATCAATTAATTTTAGCAAACTTGGTTGACCTGAGACCTAACTCTTCGAAAAGAGATACCATATTGATTTACATATATTCAAACACATTTATTTACAGATCATTCTTTGCTTTGCCACTGTATTTGAGGAAAAAAGAGAAGAAAGTGAAAAATAAACATAAATAAATATTATTGCTGTTTTACAACAAATAAATACTAGAAAACACTCGCTGCTGATAACAACAACATTGACCCTGGTAATCAGTCAGTAAAATGCGCATAGAGCGGCAAAGCACTTTGATGTGACCGCGTGAGGGTCCCAGGAGTAAAATCAAAACGACTACAGATAGCATGCAGCTTTATCTTTATCGGATCAAATATTTTCCCATCCAAAATAAGAATATTAACAACATTTTCAAGGTTAGAGAAATTCAAAAAGTATGCAGATCTGAGTCACTAAAAATTTATTGCGCCGCTTACTACATTCCTTAATCATTGCATGCGTCTCTCGTTATATGAATGACGTGAAATTTTAGGGTATTTCTTTTAGTGAATTACGATCGTGTTTTTTTTTTCGCATTTATTCTATACTAACTACAGCTAATACAAAAACATGTTGTCGTTTGAGTTGTCTGTTCCTTTATTTTACTATACACAAGCTCATCGCGTTATCCACAAATCGTAACCCTGGGTTATCCGAGAAGAATGAATTACGTAGATAGAATGAGGTAACCGCCGATAACCATTCTTCGATATACATACATATTCAAGTAAAAGTGATCCCGTTACAGACCTTTTGTAAGTGGGCCATAACCATTTTATTTTTTTATAAGGCTGATGATGGCAATCAGTTTTCGCACTTAATTATACTGCCAGTTTTTGACTTTCGAAAAATATAATGCGTGATTGAAAAGTGAAATTTTGTTTGGTAAGATAGCTGTTTTTTTTTATTACGAGTATTATATATTTGTCAAATCTCGTTTACGGATTTGGAATAGCATGTTTTATCGAAGTTTAATTTTTTATGTACCTACCTACTACTTACTCTACGCGTTCCCATTGAAAAAATGATTTTATTCACATTGTCATTTGGGCATTAAATTCAATGGTATTATCTTTGGCAGTACCTACCAATTTCATTTTTAATTCATCTTAAAAATGATTTTTTCACTTAAAATTTGACTAGATTTCGAAAATATGTAGTCGGTACTGAATGTATATTCGCTTTATTCAAAAGTACAAAGGGCAATCGTTCTCTGGTCTCGCCGCATATGACTGCATTTCAAACGTTTCGCAAATCGACGTGAGCCGTCTCAGAACAGTTACAATTGCTAGGTTACGACCGTGTACAATCTGCAGCACTATGACAAATATGCATATGACATAAAGCTATTCCAGGCAACCAACAAACAAGTTTCGTCAAAAACAGACCCATGACGTTTCGTCACTTTTTTATTTTATTTTTTATTGCTTATATGGGTGGACGAGCTCACAGCCCACTTGGTGTTAAGTGGTTACTGGAGCCCATAGACATCTACAACGTAAATGCGCTACCTACCTTGAGATATAAGTTCTAAGGTCTCAAGTATAGTTACAGCGGCTGCCCCATCCTTCAAACCGAAACGTATTACTGTTTCACGGCAGAAATAGACAGGGTGGTGGTACCTACCCGCGCGGACTCACAAGAGATCCTACCACCAGTACCTTCCTTACAATTCTACATAAAACGGTTGAGTTTGAGGTATTTCGATATCAGATAGAGTTGAATTAAGGCTCCAGCTAAAGATTCAAAAACACTCAAGTTCAGCAGTTATGGAAAACTTTGGTATCATACAAACGTAAATAACGACCATGTTCAGTGTACTGGTAGTCTAAATTTTAAAGAAATTATGTTTTAATCTTAGAGCGAAACTTTAAAATACATACACTACGTTCAAATAATTTGACAATCGTTTTCGCAAACAACTAAGACTTCGACTTCAGATGTCAAGGTGGGCGGCGACATTCATGTTGTTGCTTACGAGCTGAGGTATAGGCTAAGCACTTAAACAACGCAAGACAAGTGCTTGGGTACATATTAATTTTCTCAACAATTCTTCTATTTGCTATTAACATAATTGGTCGCGGTTCATGATTCAAATAACGAAGGCAGGTTAAAAAACAAACAAATTATAATATTAGTGGTTAATGCGTTTCAACTAAATTACGGAGAAGTTTCAATACATTGTGATGAATCACTGAAAGATAACGAAAATTACGTTTAATAGTAAGGAATTCGATTTTTAAGAAATACGATATTGAAGTCGCAAATTAAAATTAATCTACTGATGTGAACGTGAAGAGCATTAGATTTGAAGGTCGCGCGGCACAAGCGCACCTCTGGGAGCCAGATGACGTCTATGGAGTAGAAAATGTTGCCAGCTTTCAGAATATTTTTTCAATCTTTTCTAATAAATTACATGTACATGTATTGATTTTGCATTTTAATTAAAAGTCTATGTTGCGTTGTGGTAATTGAGCGTGGACTGTATTTATTGTTTTGAGATATTTATTATACCTTTATATGACAAACTAGATCCTTCGATATTCGTTCGACTATTCGGCGATATATGGCATTATTCTTACCGGCGTAACAATAGTATTTTCAGTTGTTGACCAGAAAATACAGAGTATTTCGTTCAATGTGTCTTTTAAAATTAAATGGGTAGTCTACGCGCGAGCGAACGATGAAATAAAACGAATTTCATACATTCCCGCAGACCTTTTTCGATCTTTAAGGTCATATTTACAAGGACGACGATCCTGCGAAGGTCGTACCAATACATCCTTGATATCGCTAAATTCCTTGTTGAAGCAATGAAGCGAATTTGAAAGTCAAATTAGGATCGAATTTTATTTAAAATAGCCATACTCACCCGCTTCGGTGGGCTTTAAAATTAACATTATTATTTATTGTCATCATTATTAGGGAGTCCAACACTCATATAAATATTAGCCAATCCATTGGATGGATCCGTGGATACCAAGTTTCAAGTCAATCGGATGCATGGTTCAGTAATCATAACGGAACATCCGTGAAAACCACTGTAGATTTATATATTAGTATAGATTAAGAACTTCATATAAGAGAAATACAAAATTGATGCGTTGCTCTTGGCAGCTGGGTTTAAAAAGGGATTGTTGTCATGGTGGACGCGACGCTCGCTGACATTTTTGCGTTCAGAAATTAAAGTCTATAATATAACTATTGTTATTTCAAAAATTTTATTCCTTTTTTCCTAATTATAGGTATTATATTTATTATTTAATGAAACTACTAGAAAATAAAAACATTTATTCTGTAAACAGTAAGACCTTACAATTAAATAAGATCTAATTACGTGTGCTACCATAAATACCGGCTAGGTTCCGATGTTACCCTAACATCCGCACTTTATGTATATTTATTTCGTCTCTTACCGAATTCTAAAATAAGTGCTGGCAGCCCGCTGTCTGTTTTAAGTCAGTCGGTTGCGCGGGAACGGCACGAATAACACGTATTATTGTTTATTTTACACGCAAGACAGTTTATATCCTAACTCTCGTACAAACTTAATTCAGGTGAAAATATGTTTACTCATTGATCTTCCTAAATTGAAATATTCAAACTAGACAGTTACAGATGTTTGACGTGCTGTATTAGCTACGGAAACTAGTGGGAGGTTAGTAATATATGTCTATGTTTTGATGTGTTTTTGCGACTGTTTACTATTCGAATGCTGTGCCTGGTAATATTGGCAGCAGATCAAAATTTAAGAGCACGTGGCTCATAAAATAATTTAGATTTAAAAGCTTGAATGGGTTTCGTTTATTTGTGTGTTCATTCGTTTATAGATGCAATCGAAATTCATATGCCATATTCAAATCAATTATTTATTGACGTTTTCAATTCCGAACAGCCGTAGGCCATAAAATCTTCCAAAAAATACCGAACACAGGTGTTTTTTTTAAATATATAGGTTTGTAGCGCATTATTACTTGAACTTTAGTTGAAATTAAGAAAACACTTCTATACGAGTACCCACAACTTTAATATGTTCAATACACCATAATAAAATTATCGCATGACATTTTATTATTTTGATCTTACCTTCTAACTAAAAAGTTCAAAATTCGAAAATGTGAATCTTGTGAATTTACTACGAAACTTTGTTGCCTTAGATAGGTAGTGATTCTGAAATAATAGCAAATAACAATTGAAAGTAAAGCAATATCAACTGCATTGCGATGTTTTTTAATAATTACATTTTCCTTGTATTCACGTGTTAGTTAGGTACCTACCATTACAAAATGTTCGTGTAAGTAATGACGCTATATTTGATTAATTTTGTATATCTATTATGTATGAAATGAACAAGCAACGAAAAATATACTGAAACTCATTCTCGAAGAAAACGGCTTTAGGAACGAATTAAAATCTATGGACAGATATATTTATTGCATTATACCTAAATTTATATCTGTCGCGGGACTGTATGTAAGTATAGTGTGGATTTTTAATAAAAATTCCTAGACGATACTCAAGTGTACAAGGCCCCAAATACCGTTATTTTAGCCGGTTTGCTTGTTATTTCGATTATATAATGCACAGATAAACCCTCCTATAACACATTTTACGTTCCTACAAAGCTCCGCGTTGTGCGAAACCGTGCTATTTGAGAAGTCAGTACAAAAAGGAGAGTAACTTTTCTGAATGAAACATCACAATGCCCTTACAATGCCTGTATGTATGTTTTAGCTATTATACATAAAAAATAAGCAGTATAAATTCGGCTATTCCCATATATTTTTTATTTATAGTGCATAATGTAATTTTCTAAATAATTTTAACCAAAAATCTCATCATGTTTTAGAAGTACCGAGAGGGTTTTGGAGATTTTTTGTTTTCGTGTTTAAGTGTAACTGTGTTGTAAAATACCGTGCTATAGGAGGGTACCTATATATTGTATCTTTAAGTCGAATATCACGCAAATGCTAATGAATATTTATATTAATCAAACTATATGTTAGGGTGATTAGATTTTTTTTCATTTTTATTCTTAAGGAGGAATGACGAGCTACAATAGTTTTAATCAAAGTAAGGTAATAAAACATATTGAGCACAAAAAATATATATTTCCCTCAGTCAACTCAGTAAAGTCATGTAAAAAAGGCAACGCTTGAATAACATAATATTATTATAACTTCATTCAATATCGTTTCTGTAATATATCATTTGTGTCCCCTGATTTAATGGTTTTTTTTTTGTATTACTTACTAATGAAAGAAGGCCGCGCTTCACAGTAATTCGAACATTTGTTAAAAGTACTCCTCGCGCTCTTCCTGCCGTTCGCAAGTCATACTATACCAGGAAACTTCCCCGAAGTGCCAAGAACAACTGCACAAAGTTCCAGTTCAATTTATGAAGTATTTTAGTTTTATTCATACCTACACATGTTCATTTCGAAGTGAGAACAACGCAATAAACACTTTATTTTGTAACAAATTTCAAAGTAAAGTACATAATATTTTCTTCGATTCGTAATCGCTTGAGCGGATGTCTATACTAATATTATAAAGAGGAAAGATTTGTTTGTTTCGAATAAGCTCCGAAACAACTGGACCGATTTGAAAAATTCTTTTTCCATTAGAAGCCGACATTGTCCCTGATGAACATAGGCTACTTTTTTTTTTTTTGTTTCTATTGTGTTTTAATGTTTCCGAAGCGAAGCGAGGGCGGGTCGCTAGTATTTTATAAGTTTACGTTTCTCTCGATTGATTTTCAGAACTGACATTTCGTTTCGAGTTCCGAGAACTTTGTAAACAATGGACTTTTATTAGGTATCAGTTTATGATTACATATCCATTAATATATTTCGCTTATGTCACTAGAAAAGCTGCAGATCACGTTTTAAAATATGCGTCTATTGCATTGAAGGTTAGCTTCAAAACAGAATGAAAGGGTCAATACGGTCCGAGCTTTGGTATGTCTAAGTTGTGTTTAGATGTTCTTTTTAGATAAATTCATATATGATAGTTCTACTTACATCTTTTTTTTAAATAAAAATATCCAAAATCACATTCAAAAGTAAAACTAGTCACAACGAGATTTACCACATAATAGACACATAAATATTACGCAACGATCGTTTTATGTAAATTAAGTAACTTGAGCCTGCTTTTATGTACAATGTAAAATATTGAGTCACTGCTAGCATTTTCCAAATATTTAAAATTTCATAGTGCATCATCAGCATCTTGTATGACGTCACGCTTTGTGAACTCGACGAACCAGTTAGACAACTGGCACAGAATTCAAACCGTCACTGTACGTAGCATTAAGAATCGTGACATAATTACTGTTAATCTAATTTAGTGCCTAAATCATGATTTTAAAACTTCTTTATACCGTTTACACCATTACCAACCTATCTAATTAACACAGACGGATAGGCAACTCTAATTATGTTAAGCCGTTACCGCAACGCACACTGGTTTCGGTGGCTCTAGAATAATGCCTATTCCAATATTTAGTCCGAAAATGGCGTGGTAGATACCATGGCAGACATAGCAGGCAGACGGACTATGATACAAATCCGCCCCGTTCACTTGTTAAGTCACGAGTACAATTGCGTGATTTTTTCATCAATTTATTCTCTTTCAATTTAATTTTCTTAAAAAAAGATATAATTAATTGTTAATCGAGCGCTTACCATGATCGACTAGACGCAACGAAGGGCTTTTAATTATGGTTTAAGTTTTAATTACAGATTGTGCACTGTAAAATTTTAATACACCTAACACTTGCTTCGTCAGCCTTCAGTCCTTTATGACTATATTTTTGTGCGAAAAACCGCTGTGACGAAGATATTTGCCGCAATACTCTTACAACCTGATGAGGCATGGTATTGCTTGAATGACTTCAATCGATATTTTTGCATTTTTAAAGACTAAATGGGCATAATTATCATTGAAATACGACAACAGAATGTATGATCGAAAGTAGTGCAATATATGATATGCGATTGGAATGTGGTTACGTTGTGAGGCTGGACGCAGTGAAACCATACACAAGGCAAGAACGATAGCAGTGAGTCCACCGGTAACACGAAACCGTAGCCGCCATAAAGCTCAACATACGAACCTGCAAGCCCCGGGGCAATTTACAAACACTCCGGCAACCATGATTGTTTTGAAATTATACAACTTACAGAGCAAGCTTTTATCAATTACTTATAATCAACGTCTAGGAAATATGGATGCCCATAAAATTTGAACATTTTTAGTCTATTGTATTGCTCTCTCCCTCTGAAACGAAAACCGAATAGATACAAAAACCACAATTGCTGCATGCACTATAAGTTCCATGTGTATGTTAAAATGATTAGAAAGTGATATTTTCGTATTACCCTGTTTCCTCCTCCAAAACTGTATAATTTTATTATTATTTCGAACATATTTTTGATCACACATTTTTTCGTTAATACATAATTTGTTTCCTTTTCTAATGAAATATTGGATAGGGCAGCGGTAGCTATAGAGGGCATATAGTATGGAAACATTTACTGTCGTTATGGCCATGGTTTCCCCCCGGAAGGAAATGTATGGATACTTTTGTACGGATTAAATAGCCGAGATTATCTTAAATGTAGATGATGACGATAGCGAGAGTGTATAATAATTACACCTTAGCGTCGGTCCCACGAGTGCTGTTATATGCAAACACACCGAACTGACGACGCCTAGACCGGAGACGTAATTTTAAGAACTCTCAATCAGTGTAAACAGACACCGGACGAAATATAAAAAGGACTTCCATTGAATCTCATCTTTGTTTAGGTAACTTAGACAGTAAATTCAAGGTTATATTGACGTTAAGTATTTTAATGGTTGTGATTTTAGTAATCTAATTCTTGATTAACGATCCTATTTCAAAAACTTTATCGAACGAAAAACCTGAATAAGCAGAAAAAGTATTATAAATCACGATATTTTTGTCAAATGAATTAATTATGAATAAACATTTTCCAGTACTTACACATAGTTAAACTACCATATCCTTTCGATTACTGTGATTATTTGTAAAATCCGTATTAAAAGCTAATATGACGGCCAATGAAAGACTATCGGGAAACCCGGTCGATTTAAATTTCAGAACAATGAATGTCGGGAAGTCACCAGTTAAGAGTTAATTCAATAAAGTTTAAGAGAACAAGCGTTAGCGCACGTAGTTACTTCATTTTATGTACTTCATTTTACACATATTGAGCTATTTTATTTATTTATTAATTATTTCAGTTTTTTTTTAAAACCTTAACATTTTGTTAGTAGTAATTACTTATAATCTATGTTAGTAACTTAAAAAATCTAACACATAACTATCATTATATACATTTTATACCATTACATTTTTATTTTTTTATTTTTTCTCCTTCCAAGTGCCTACTGCAAAGGCTATTGATCAGCAGTCCCTCGATCTTGCTCGATATGATTCTCAAAAGACTGTTGCCACTGTCACGAACTCGACGCAATAACGTTGCACTTCTTTTCCGCATTATTGCAAAGAAGTCAAGTTGAAACACTACATTTATTCTACTTAGTTCACGATTAAATATTATGATTCATTACATACTTATTGTTGTATTGTGTAAATGTTTTTATTGTAATTCTAGTCGATTTTACTAGCACAAGTTAAAAATAATAATTAAGATAAGTTAATTAATATGATCAAAAGACAAGAAACGATACGGAAACTGTACATTCCGAATAGACTCAAAGCGGTCACGACAGAGATAAAGTAACTGTTATCCAAATATTTATGCGCGATAAAACTCTTCGCTACAGATGTTTACCGCTAATGTAACGCGAATATTTAAATTATTGATTGATTTATTGTTCCCAACCTTCGTCAGTTTCAAATTCACTTCACTTACTCCGTTATCAGGCAGAAAATGTAATGAAATGTTTTTAAAGAACCAAGTTTCACTCGACCAATTTACTTTATGAGCAGTGCGTACAAATTACGCATTAAATAGGCTACGTTTATCATTTAATTGACCTCAAGGTTTATAAGTTTAATTTTTGTGATGAGGTTACCTGAGTTAGTAACGCCACTTTAATATATTTCATTTTCATAATTAATTAGGCGTAAAAAAATCATTTTATTTAAAATCTATTTAGAAGAGAAAAATATTGAAAACTTAATAAAAGAAGACTATTTAAACGTCTTATTTGACCTTGTCAGAAGTATTATGTTGAATTTTTTTTTTATTTCGATTTTCAAAATGTAAAACTGGGGACATCAGCAATATAGTCATCATCAAAATATCAATCATAAAACAAATCTAAACGTTTTTTTTCCTACCTATGCTCTATGCTCTAATAGACTTGAGAGGCTATTTTAGCTTCTCCTTGACGTCTAGGTGAGCTCACGGGGCTCAAACCAGGAGTGTTGCTAACACTGGCCCTAGCAGGAGCAGTGCTTCGCAGAATCTACCACCGGATCGAAAACGCGACCCACTGAGAAGATCCGGCGAGAAACTCAGTGGGCTAACTAAACTTCTTAATGAAAGAGCACTATCGTATTTCCTCTGTACTGAGAAATCTCGAGAGCACATAGACCGCAAATGTCACCGATTGCAAATTTTGTAATTTACCTTCGATGCCAGCTCGCGCGAGGTAAACAAATGTGCAATCCTGAATAATTAAGCCTAGTACAAATTACTATTATTAGGTATCAAATAATGCGTTATAAACTTAAGTTTCTCGATCGAAAATGTTTAGACATGATTTCATGTGTCTATCAAATATTGACGGCGTTTTAGCGGGTGTTATCAAAGAATAAATTTTAATGTAAAATAACAAGTTATTACTCGAAATGTACATTAAAAGGGCCAACTCCGCAGCAAAGCAAAAGAAAGGCGTACATTGTTCTAGTATATAACAATAAAAACGCAAACTTGTTCGTGCACGTGAGTGTTCGTTCCGCATTATACCCTTTTCTTTCAAATTTAAAAGGAATGGGTGCGCGCCTTACTGCCCATGAAAGACTTAATTATACAATCCACTTTTTAAAAGGTTTTTTTCATAATTAGCACGCAAATCTTAGGAATTATTTTAACAAGTCACCTAATGTATTGAAAAATATTAATTTTAATAAAATAAACAAAAATACTAGAACACCTTCGAGCTTATCTTCAACAACTATTATTATGTAGTGATCTAATCAAGCTAATTTAATTTTATGTTAGAGCATGACGTAATCTCAATCGTAAATTCGTAACCAATGTTACTTACAAAGCGACCTTTTGAAAACAACGTTTTTAAAAGGAATTTTTTGGTCGGATTGAACGCTTTAACACTTCCACGGTCTCGAAATTTACATATATAAAGCAATACATGCCAATAATGTGAACCTATTCTTTGTTATGAAGAAGATAAATAATCGTAAAGATAGAAGTATAGATGTACAAGTTTAACTTTATTCGACCGGGAAAGACCACACGGACGAAATCGTGAGCGATAGAAAGACAAACAAATAACCTGTTTTATTATCTAGACACAGTCGTGAATACATTGCACACAATATTTAAAAGTAGCAAGATTGTAAATAAAGCAGTCAGGTTTTTTTTTGGTAAGTATAATTCATGATAAATATCGCTAATGGTTTAGTTCACCTTAAGCAGTTTTAAGAGTTTCTTTGGTATAAGCATTTTAATATTAATCGTACCGGTGGCCTCGGAGTTGGCTCTTTTAATTTACACTTAATTAAAAGGATTTTACTGACGTATAAAGTGGCAAGTTTGAAACCCAACTGGTGTTAAATGGTTACTGTGTACCACATACACGAGTCACAGCGTGAACGCCCAAAGTTAGGTCGGACGAATCAATTGAATTTTGTAACTGATATTTTACTTAAAAACAGCGCATTATTGCTTCACGACAGGAACAGAAAGGATGACGGTTCTTGCTCGTGCGGTGTTACAATACTTTCTACGATATAACTACCGTACATTAAACGAGTTCATCAATTTTATAACTCGATCTTCTTCCTTCGTAGTTTGTAATTAACATTTTTTTTATAAAATTAATTTATTAAATATAAAAATTTTTTTAAGATACTCCTGTAAAAAAAACTCTCCACGAGACAGGCAGTGCCTAGTGTGGAGAGTTTTTAGCAAACTGTTATGTGTAAATGTTTCAAGGTTAATAAATAAATTATTATTTAAATTATTAAAATTGATTCCAGCCGCCAGATCAATCCACTTTAATAATTTAATATCATTTAAATTATTTGAATGACTACCTGCTTCTCGCGGACAGGTAGGTGAGCTCACGAGCTCAACCTGAGAGAATTTGCTAACGCAGAAATTATCACTAGATCGGAATCGCGATCCACTGAAAAGATCCGGCAAGTAACTCTGTGGCTGCTTCAAACCACGGCATAATCCTTTAACTTATGAATAAACACGTCTTACTTAAACCACGAACGCAACAAAATTACCAATTTCCTGCTAACTCAAATATCACGCTAAGCGTCGACATGGAAAATACTAGGTACGCTCGAAACGGCCACAATACCGTGATTATTCTACGTGAACGGAAACACAGCGCGTAATTGCGTAAACAAACTCATTATTCATATTGCTAATCATTAACTACCGAGAAATGTGCTTTTAGGATGAATCATCGAAACAGCTCCCGGCCGTGCCAAAATATCATAGGATACGTTTAGAGATGCACTTGACGATCAAAAATAAAACTTTGTTAATTCAAAACCTATTGAATAGCATTCATACGTACCAATAGATTAATTTGCTGTGCGTAATTTAAATGCTGTAATTTAAATATCTATGTGTCTTAATACTATAAAAGTCAGCCAAATGTCAACATTTACAAACTTGAGTATAAAATCAATAAATTCAACAAAAGATGTCTTAAATTTTTGATACAACGAAGAGGACATGTTGTATTTGTTATTTTAGTTATGTGCTATTTGTTCTACACACACTTATCACTTTTTATTATTATTCTCATAATCCTCTCGCAGGTCTGCTGGAAGAGATTTTTTAAAGAAATAAGCAGTGCCTTTGTACATAATTTTCCTATTACTCTGTACTATGTCTTTTTTTTCTGTGTGTACATAAATAAATAAATAAAAATAAAGGACTACAGCAATAAAATAGAACGTACACCAGTTGTGTAGCTGTAGTAACAAACTAATTTAGAAAACAAACGAATATAGAAATGCAATAGAAACGTTTTCTTTTTAAAAAATATTAAGGTTTTAAAAGAAAATAAAGTTATTCTTTATTTAGAAATAAGAAATAATCCTTATATAATAATATTTGCGCTATAGTTATCCATTATGCCTTTTGGCCGATTTTTTCTGTTTTTAATGTATACCATGTTCTTTATTTTTTTACTAATAAAGTATACCTACTACTTAGTTAGTCTGAAAATCAATATAATTAAAATATAAAACCATTAATTGTAAACGTTTATAATTGCTTAAAGCGATTCCATGTAAGAAAATAAGTTAATTTCTTGTATCGACGCTATCCATTAAGACTGCAAGACTAAATTTAATGTGAATTATAAACTTGAAAATAACTAAAGATAAGTCACGTAACCTGTAAATTATAGTAGCATATAGGTCACTTAGTGTAGTTTCGCAATTCAAAACATGTGCCCTTATGTAAATAAACTAGGTAATTTTTAGAAAAATACTTCGCAACAATTTACATACTTAATTTAGCAAAAAAATAAACAGTCAGATGCTTGTTTTTTTTTTTGATCGCCGAAAAAGTAATAAAATTATTTGCTGCATAAAAGTTGATATCGATCGATTATTATTTAAAATAATTTGTAATCGTTTGAACAGAAGAAAAGAGGTCGTGCTGTCACGACTATCAAACGCGACGCTATCTCCCCCGATAGCCTTGCTAAAATCACACACTAGAACGTTTGCCCGCGAGCCGACCCGCCGACGTATCTGATAACGTGGCCCGATAACGATATACCTAGCTGACTCAGATCCACTTCATTACCTTTCGAACACGTAGTTTTATAACACTTTGAGAAACGACTACGGGATTTCCTAACATTTTTATAATTACTTAAAATAATAGTAAAAATTTTCGCGTAAAACCTGTATTGATAACAGACTCCGAATCAATTTCGTTGTGATTAATTTTATAAATCATAGTAAGTTAGAGATTAATGACATAATCAATGAAACATCTACGAAACTAAAATTACCGTGATGGTGCTATGATCGTGCAAATTGTGCTAATGAAACATATAACTCTTAACAAAGCCGTGTTCGCTAGTTTACATTGATCATTTATTAATGTAATTTACTATTTCAGGTAGTGCGTGATTGAAATGGTGACGTGATGAGTTTAGCATGCGTTGGACGACGTGGTGGCAGATTATTTTCGTGTTAAACACCTCCCTGGCACAGAGCAACACGGTAACCGTCTGCCAGGAGGATGATTGTAGCTGCGACTCATTCACGAGACTCATATGCAACTGCACCAGTGCAGACTCGGTATGCGATATTACTTGTTATTTACTAAATGTACTTTATTGTTTCTGCCAAATAGGCAATAGCTCAGGTCTTCGTGTTAGCGTTAGGTAATTCGATAAATATAATTACAGCTTAATGAAATAAATCTTTCAAAGCCATACATTGTGTTGGGGCTGAGAATGTCAAATCAATTGTTAAGTTGTTATCCTATCGTTTAAACACAAAAAATAGAGTCAGTATGCCATATACGAAACGTTAAATGAACTGAACTGAAATGAATTTTTCAAACAAAATTGTTTTTCAATACGAAACATGCCTAAAATTTACACCGATTCAAGTTTTATATTCAAACGCTCGCCGTGGTATTAATTCTTTGAACTGTGTTCCATGTTGCTCATTACAAGACAAAACTATTATACTTAGAAGTACTATGAGATTTTTATCTGTTGTATTGAATACCTAAAGTCATTTATAAGACATACTCACAACAAAGGAACGTAATATTTTTATTTCATATTTTTCCATAGGAGGTAACCCTAAGACCAGATGGCCCATACCGGGTACCATCCACCATCACAGCAATTTTTATCAACGGATGCGGACGAATATCATTCCTGTCGGATACCGTCCGAGATCTTATCAATCTACGTAACATCGAGATCAGAAATGTTCAACACGTTATCATCAATGAGAGAGCTTTGGCGTGGTTGCCGTTTCCGAGGGAAAATGAAATGAATCCAGGTCTCAGGATAACAATAGACAATTCAACGATTGATGAAATAGCGTCACACGCAATACAAGGGCGGTTTAACGACATTATAATCAGGAACAGCAAATTTGTTAATGCAAGACCTTTCGCGTTTTCTAGTCTTTTCGGTGTTAATAATGTAGAACTTACCAACAATGTGTACGAAAATATGGACATACAAGTCTTCAAAAAATTCTCAATGTTAAATTTCGTAATAAGCGGAGGTACCGTTAACGTTTTACCCAGTAGGTTTCTCTCTGACGTAGAAGTTACGAATCTTTTCCGCGTGGAAGGAGTTACCGCCAGATCCTTGTATAGTTTAACGTTCCTTGTTAGCTCACCAAAGAGGGTCCTTATCGAAAATAACAATATAGAAACAGTGGAAGGAGACGCCTTTCATATAGTCACAAGGGGACCCATAACTTTTAGAAATAATACTGTGACAAACTTGAAAAAGGGTGCCTTACTTGGATTCACAGTAGAATTGGAAGTAGCATCTGTGTCAGGAGCACAAGAATTATTGATTGACAATAATACGATAACGAATTTAAACCCATCATCGTTAATGTACAATCGCACTCGACTGAATCGGCGAGTGGACGGTTTAAACATAGACGTACCATGCAGTTGTGAACTAGCCGACGAATGGCGTAAAGCCCTTAAAGACGAAGGCGGAAATATTGCGTGTTGGTACGAACTAGAAAGATATTTTGTCTCTTTGCCGACTTACACCGACAGTAGGTGCGGTCCATTCAAGCAGAATTTCTGGATTTTTGTTGTTATTGGTATAGTATTAGCGTTAACTCTCGTAGCTATTGCGATATTTTTCATTGTAAGACATGAAAATGAAAAGAAAAAAAAGGTGCAGATAGTTATGCCAGATGGAAAGACTTACAGAGAGACTGAATTGCATATAGTAGTAGAAAGGGCCGAATTACTGACCACCGAATTATGATCTTATGATTTGTTAAACTGACGCTCCACGATTTTCAATAAATTAAATTCGTGACTGATGGCAACTACTTGGTCTAATAGGCAACTAATATATTTTGAAGTCGTTACGAAAATATTGATCGTTTTTTTTTTTTTTTTTTGGATATGTGATTGTGTTAAACGATATGTAATCGATCGTAAGTTAAGTAGATCTGTGAATAGCATTAATCGTCTACCTCATCGTCAGTTTGAATAGTGCCAAGTTATTTAAACATCGACCAGTATTACCCGATGTAATAACGAATGTTTCAGTAATTTTAAATTACTTTGTAATAAATAAAATAAAACAATTTCAATCTTTTATTTATTTTTATCAACAGCTAAGTAACCAAGCCTTGCGAATGTTTTTTGTTTAACTTCAAGTTGTTTATGCCAAAACTCATAGCATAAAGTTTATATCAAAACATGCACAGCGAACTGTTCATATTTACTTTGATGATTTACGTTCATACATACTTTAAGATTATCAGAAATCACAAAGATTTTCGTCATTTCTCCTCGTCCACTTCTTACCGTCCGCTTTTGGTAAAAGTCACAATCATTCTAAATACAATACATAATTTGTAAAACACGTGACAATTCCCTAAATACATTCCCAGAACACAGCAAACTATTAATATGTGATACTGCTTTTGCGTTACTCCGCATAACTGTGTACAGATTAACGTAATTGAATACTGTTGACCTTTGTAAACAATCATTAAATTGCAGTGCGATTACACTAACACGCAGATAATGTGTACTTATAAATCATTGTGGCTCATGAAGAACGACTGATCTCGCCGATGTTTAAGTAGATAAACAGATATAGTAATTATGATTATGAGTTATTTATTTACGTTAAAGCAAACAACGATCAGAATACGTCCATATAATAACTGGAACATATTCGACGCTTGAAAGGCAAACGTGACTAAGCGACAATGCGTGAACTTGACAGTAGACTAATTTAAAGTTAAAATTAATTTAAAATATACCTGAGAAATACCTGAAAAAAATTCTATTTTAACGAATCTAGCTGTAGGATTGAAATGATTTTAATAGACCTAGAAACATATTTTTTTGCGCATCGAATATCGTTATTGCCTATCATTTATGTACAAAGCAGTTGTTGTCGCTTAGTCACGTTTGCCTTTCAAGCGTCGAATTATATTAATAAACATGTATAAAAATTAAATTGCACTCTCGATAACTTACTGATTTGTAGCTAATATAAGCTAAAAAATTTTTAGCAGTTATAATACGCAAATATGCTACACAAAGAGAATACGAATGCGCATTAAATCTTGACTTTTCCTAAACATGCATTATCTTATATTTACTATCATATATATTTAGAAAACCCTGTCAGTTTAGTTAAGCAAATTTTCTGAAAATGGAATACGTCTTATCTACAGTAATACTTACACTTTACTTACCTTTGTAGTTTAACATACAAATAACATCAAATAAGATGACGTCCGCACAAGTATCTCGATGTTCGTCGATGTCAGAATCTTGCTTGCTAATAATAATAATACTACAATCAGCTATACCATAAGCTTTTCTTTTACTATGTACCTACATATGCAATTAAAAAAAACTGAGGTGTTGCTGTAATGCCAGTGAATTGCAGAAACTATATTGTGCTGTGACATTCAATAAAATATTATTTGACGTGTACGACAGCTATGTTGGTATACCAAGAAAAAAAATCTCAAGTTTATCCATATTCATCCTAGCCATATTAAGTAAATTAAAATTAAATATAAAGGTTTCAAATAATATATAACAAACATATTTTGAATAATTTATTTTTCAATTATTTTTCAACTGTGACGGATCCCTGAAAATCTGTTAGTATAAGTTAAGTAGCGGTTTGTTAATTTTATAAGTTATATTCGCGGCTGGAGCAGTGCCTAAATCAAAACACATCATAAATAAATGAAAAAAAAACATTACAAGATGCCGGCGAAATACGTTAAAAAATATTATCTTCAACATTTCGTTTCTATGTTATTCAGATTTTAATTCGTGATTCGTGATTCATTATTTTAGCAAGCTGTCTCACGATTTATTTATTAATTATTCTGATTTGCATAAAAAAAATTGCTTATCATTTACGATTTTAGTGTCGAGGTAATTTATATACAAAATAATCGCTTTAAAAAGTATCATCTACATCAGAATGATATCATTATATTAACACATCGTTGGCACTGCTCTTAGAAACTTAAAACAATTTTACGATGACGTTATACAGTTCATACAACACAAAGACACGCTACTTAAGGCGCAGATAAAATTTTATTGAAAATAATGTTAGTCTGTAGTATAAGTTAGTATAAGATAGCAAAGGAAAACGTAAATCAGTCGACCATAGGTGAGTGTAAAAGATTAACAAAGAATTATAAAATTTATGGAGACAAATTAATAGGGAAAAACATCCGATATAAGTTCTCAATACACACACTAAACTACTGCTATAATGCAATTTTAAAACACGCATGCAATACTGAAAATCTTAACATATAAAATACTATATATTATACAGAATGTGAAATAAAATTTGTAGCTGGCTTCAGCGTGAGAGAAAAACAATTTTCTATATTGATTTTTCGCTTGCCATTTATTTGTCTGGTGTCTTCTATTAAACAGCAGTACCTCTTATAAGAGATACTCGGTTACCCTTACACTCGGTTATATGTGTTTATGTTTGTTAGTCAAGACAAAGTTGTATGGAAAAAATACAGTGTGTTAAAGTCGTGATAAAAAAAGAATAAACATTAAAACTTAGTGCAGTTAATGAGTTTATAGAAACTTTTGTCAAGATGATCAGTTAAAGATATGAAATGTACAATACTTAAAATACTCAAAGCAAACTAATTCGTGTTTTATACTCACTGCTGAAGAGATTGGTCATCAAAAATTTGATGAACTGTTGGAAGTGAAGTCAGATCGAGTCCCCGGGATAGGAAAAGCGTTTCGCAAGCATCTTGGGGAGTTTCGTCCTCGCCTCCGGTAGGGTTGCCTCCTATCATTGCTTGAAGCTGTACTTCTAGTAGTGTTGCTGTTATAAAATTTACTTATTTCAATAAATTTGAAGTAGTCAATTTATAATTGGGATAAGTATTATTCCTTCAGATTTCAAGGTGAAGGGATCAATGTTATAGCCACCGGAACAGAAAAATATGCTGCAGTAAATGGACATTTGTTCACTATTATTCCGTATGCCTTTTAGTTTATTTTCTGACCATTCTTATGTTTGGTTTTGACAGTTTTACTAAAAAAAATTTTACTTTGGAAAACATACTGGTATACCTACAATGTGGCTTAGCTTACAAGATACACTTATGATTTAAAAAAAGATTTTCAACACGCTATTACTGGCTCGACCTGTTTCAATTCAACGGAATCTTTCATCATAACTTTCTCCGACTTTACACATCAATTTGTAAATTTGCAATCTTATCAAGGACCGATAGCTATACAATATTTTTTACTATAGCCTGACAACGAGGAGAAAAAAGTTTTATTTTATTTTAAGTTTTGCTTGCCATTAAAGCGTGATTTTTAAACTACACTTATTAATAACAACCGGGAACTGCTCATATTTTGCAACTTTACAAAACTCCACTGGACGTATCACGTGTTGCGTCTTTTGCCGTCATAATAATCGCCAAGCTATGGATAGATTATTCCGCATTAAACATCGTAGGTATGTTGTAATTGGTGTTCGGTTTCACTTGAATAATGGTTAAATAAATAATGTTAAATTTATTACATTTTAATGTGTTAAAAATTAATCATTAGAATTTCACGTACAGAGTGTATATTTCTTTTAATTGAATTATCGTATTGGAAGAATTTTAATAATTTACTATCGGTATTCAATTTCCTATTATGATAGTACATAAATAATTCATTAAATAAATAAAAAATTGATTTTACTAAGCAAACTTCATTCTTTACTCAATTTATATGGTAAAGCAACTTGGAAGTTATTTGCTATCTATCGGTCATGATATATATATGATTGGTATGCAAGTCAAGTGTGATTGCACAACGTGCAGGTGTGTACCACCACGCAACTTACCACATACGATACGGTCACTTAGCAAATGATTAGAAACAATGATTCATTACAAAAAAACACTGCGACTTAATAAATTTAATACATGACGATGCTACTAATTGCTGCGTGAATTGATTTACTAATACTGTTAGAAGTTTTATTTTATATTCTGGAGATACATATTTGGTTCGTCTTGTTGTTCGGTGACTCTAACTACGGTACCACGGAAGCCGGATTCGATTCCTGTAATTCGATGAATTTGGAACGCTTATTGTATAGCAACAAGGTCGAAGTATAACTGACACCGGAATAATGCATATACGACCTTTCAGTCTTATAACATCTAATAACGCATATACGACCTTTCAGACTTATAACATCTAATAACGCATATACATTTCAGACTTATTACATTTAATATCGCACATACGACCTTCCAGACTTATAACATCTAATAACGCATATACCACCTTTCAGTCTTATAACATCTAATAACCCATATACGACCTTTCAAAGTTATTACATCTAATAACGCATATACGACCTTTCAATCTTATAACATCTAATAACCCACATACGACCTTTCAGTCTTATAACATCTAATAACGAGTACATACCGAAACTCATCGGAGGTATCTCAAGATCGGGTGCGAGCAGTTTCGAAGCGCACGCCGCACCGGTGAACATGAGGTCCATCTCTAGGGCGACCAGACCTTGCTTCTGCGATGTCAAGTTGGAATCCTCGTAGCCAACGGCCAGACAACGAAAACCGAAACGGTTCTCTTCGCTAAAATAATCACAAAACTTATTTTATCACGTACAGTTACACGTGTTACTGACCTTATTGGCACTGGATGGACCGAACTGGGGTAGGTTCATCAAGTTGCATGTTCTACATGCTACTTGATAGGGCTGCCAGGGACGCAGTTGATAGAATTACTTAAATACTAACATAGCTCTTAAGTTATTTGTAATACTAACACACTATGAGAATATGATGACTTGAAATATTTTTTTATTTTTATTTGTTTTATTTTATAGAACTGGGATATACGATACGAAAATACCCTTTAATTTTGTTTTTTCATTTTGTTACGACTAACAAGATTCGGCGAGAATCTTAGTGGGTTATAATAGTTTTTCCATTGAGTCAACTTCAATACTATACAGTTAATTTAGAGTACTATATATAACGAAATGGAAATGTGGTGTTGGAGACGTCTCCTCAGAATTCCGTGGACCGCGCACCGTAACAACGTTTCGATCCTGAAAGAGCTCATCATCAAGGAGAGACTATCGTCAACAGTCCAAATACGAATCCTCAAGTTCTTCGTGCACATCACTAATAATGAGGACTCCATTGAGCGGTTGGTGGTGCAAGGGAAAGTCAAGGGCAAAAGATCTCCAACACGTTGGACCGACCTCATAAAATCTGTGACTCACTCCAACATAAATGATTGCTCTCACTCTGCGAAACATCGTGTCACATGGTGTCGCATCGCGAGAGCATCGGTATCGCAGGATTCGACTGATGCATGACCACAACCACTCTGACAAGAGCGTACGACTAGAAAAGTACAACGAAAACCTTCCTTGAAGTGGCAATTGCATCATCTTTCGAGGCAGTCTGATAAAATACGAGCTAACGCATCGATTATAAATTAGTAAGAGAGAAAAATACACATAGTATATCGATCGATTTCATTATCCTCAACATTCAGTCATTTCTTTTTTTGTAAGGACATTATATTAATTGCTTCTTAAATACTGTCGTTATATTATATGAAATCGCTTATTAAGCGATTTAGGAGTTTTTCCGTTGTTCAAAAATCATCTTCGGTTTTTTATTTTTTTTATTGCTTAGATTGGTGGGAAGCTCACAGCCATCCTGGTGTTAAGTAATTACTGGAGCCCATAGATATCTACAACGTAAATACCGCCACCCACCTCGAAACATTAGTTCTAAGGTCTTAGTTTTTACAGCACAACGGCTTCCTCACCCTTGAGACTGAAACGCATTACTGCTTCACGGCAGAAATAGGCAGGTTGGTGGTACCTACCACCAGTATTATATTGATAACGTAATATAAACTTAGCGATACAATAATTAAAATATTACTATTAATAATAATTAAATGACATACAATAATTAATTTAATTACTGTATCGTTAATTAAATTTATAAATAGTTTATAGAAATCATCATTTATATGTTGTAAACTTACTTGTTAGCTTTATTGTATTCGGTGAGATAATCTGAGGCTGTTTCCAGTGAAAATATCACTTCGTTTCCCGGCACCAGCAACGACCTTTGCGGCCATTCAGTTGCTCTAAAAATTATCATACGTCGTTCATAACAATGAAAATATTTTGCAATATGTTTCAAAAAAACTCTTTTACTGCTAACGTAGACGTTATCGCTGCCTTTTCTGAGGCGTTTAACGAAAAGAATTGCAAATGCATCTTTGGTACCGATAAAAATACAACAATTTTATTATAAAGTAATTATGATGAAGTTTTTTTTTGTTTAGTCCTATATTCTAGATATATCTATATTTTAGATATATCGCATAAATATTTATTTGCTTTTGGACGACAAATCAAGTCCAATAATAATAATAATTTGGAACAAATCACGCGCGTTCATTCGGTTCCAAATTATGATTCCCTGTGTTATGGGTACCAAAGACTGACATACATACTGATTTACGTTTAAATATACCCAGATAAAGAGCAAACAAACCTGTATATCACATGAATGTTTGTCCGATGTGGGAATCGAACCCACGGCCCTGGGCGCGACAGTCAGAGGCGCTAACAACTGCTCCACCGAATCAGTCAATATATTTACTTACACGTTGGAGAGCTTAGGTGTGACGCTGACGTAAGTGCAGTTATATTGCATGCACGGGGCGTCCGTGTCAACTGCTTCTACGTAATCGTCAAAATCGCCTTCCGGCCCCAAATGTACTAGACGCTGCAAAATAGTATTACATTACAAAAATTGTAATTCTTCAAGCACAAGAGAGTCAATAGCGGTAGGTATTTTAGAAGCTATGTCAGCGTAACCCTAACGTGTAGGTGAGCTCTCGAGGCTCAAACCTGACGACGTGCTAACATTGGCTCTATTAAGAGCAGTGCTTCGCAGAATCTACCACCGGATCGGAAACGCGACCCACTAAGAAGATCCGGCGCGAAACTCAGTGGGCTGTGTCTATGGGCTGTGTCAGTAGGTCCTAACCGCTTCGCTGCGACCCTTAGCGTTGCCATTATCTATAAGTAATGATGATTTATCACCAGGTGAACTATACCTAAGCCGATCTCTCTTCAATGACTTATATTTCACTTATTTGTTTACACAAAACGATTATGATTCTTGATATGGGTTATTTCCGAAAAAAAAAACATAAATTAAATAAAACAACGAATTCTTCTGCATTTAAAATACAAGAGTACAATACTATTAATAGACCCCCTTCAAGAGCACATAACAATCACTACCACTCTGTCGAGAGTGAAGCGATGCTTTAATGCAAATGAAACTTCAATGTGCAGGTATCGCTGATGTGTATTTTTAAATTGCACGTAAATATTATATTTTAATTCTTTGCTAATCACTCGCACAACTGTAACGAATTTAACGACATCTCATATATCAGCAACAGATTTAGGGTTGTGAAGCGTGCCAATTAATTAGGCATGCGTATGCTAAAAAAAAAAACCCTACTCCTTCGGCAGTCAGGTAGAAAAATTGTCCACAGCCTTATAAAACTACAAAAGATAACTTCCCTAGAGGATACATGGATAGATGCCGGAGTTGCTAGTTCGTGTCGTTTGTTCCCACCGACCGACTCTATTAATTTTGCGGCAACGCGTTGAATCGTTCTAGTTTGAAGTTTTTTTTTTACATCCGACTTACATTTCAAGATGAACTGCGGCACTTTTTTTACATCGTCTAATAATTCATATCATAACTAATTTCGTACTCCTGTTTGTGCAAATTAAAAGATATCTAATACAAAACTAGATTTTACCTGCGGCCGCGCACGCTTGTCAAGGAAAAGTATTAGTATAGTTCTTGTGGAAATGAGATGTCTTTTCGGGATAAAAGTAGCCTACGTTACTCTCTTGATCTAATACTATTACTTAAAAAATATCATGTCAGTACGTTCCTTATAATAGTTTCGACATGAAAAAAGGACAAACTAACAAACTTGAACATTTAAAATATTAGTATAGTATAGATATGATACCTTCTTAAACGGTATATCGGTACGAGGCTCTTCAGTACAATGACACTTGTGTTTCGGTGCTCCAGCCACAGCGAATACAGTGAGCGTGTCTTCGGGCTGAGCTGTTATACTCCTCGGATCCATCTCCAATACAATCCACGACACCGTAGTCGGAAACAGCACTCTAAAGGATAAATTCAAATTCGATCTTGGTACGGGATCGTTTTTTTCTTTATTGTCTTAATAGGCAGAAGTAAATGCGATTTTTTTGTGTTTCCACATGGTCATTGTTAGAGGCAGATCTGTGACGTTGCACACCGTAAGATTTACGTATTCTGCCCGATTTCAAGAAGGTGCGTTAACACTTAGGAACAGTACACAAACCGCATTTAAACACGATTTTGTAGATTTATCCAGAAATAAAAAAGTACTTTTTATGTAATATAGAATTTCTCAATCAAGTAGCCACCGTTCCACCGTAGATCGTAGATATAGATATAAAGAGGTGCTAATAATTGCATTTAATAATATTGAAAAAATTATTAAGTTGGTCGTAAATGTTAACATAATTAAAATATAGATTCAAAGTAAAATATTAAAAAATTCAAGCACGTCGAAAAACCCGGAACGAAATATAGAGCTCATTAACCGAAGGAAGCGGGTAGAAAAAAAAAGGTTGGCAAACCTTCGTTTTTTATAAGTGTGCAATTGTTCGTGTAAGCCTTACCTACCTTACCTACCTTAATGATTTGCTTTAAAGGTAAGTTTTATGAAAGTTACTGCTACAGCGTCTCAAACGCAACCAAGCATCTTCATGCATCATACTTTAAAGTGACGATTAGTTTAGATTTTAAATTTCGTATTCTAAAGATTCTCGATACAGAATTCATCCTCAAGAGTCAGCCCGCCAGACTGATTTAATACGCATATAACGAAACTTGTGGTCCTATGATATTCTCTATAGGGGTGAATTGTGGGACTATAAATTAGCCCCAATGCTATCAAATATCGGCCGACTTAATCCCGGCTTAACGTCGTTATAAAACCAATATCTGCTATGCGCTACCCAATTAGTCATAGTTGTTTTTATTGCGTAGGTTGGTGAGCATGCTGATAACTCATGGTGTTCAGTTACCAGAACCCATAAACATGACAACCTCAATGCCGCCAAGCACTTTGTGAAATGAGGTCGAAGCCTCAATCGTATTGTACGATTGTGCCACCATACAAACGCAAGTCTGTTTCGCGATCGAACTGTGTGGTGGTAGTACATAGTTGGTTTTTATTTTTATTTTTTATGCTTAGAAGGGTGGACGAGCTCACAGCCCACCTGGTGTTAAGTGGTTACTGGAGCCCATAAACATCTACAATGTAAATGCGCCACCCACCTTGAGATATAAGTTCTAAGGTCTCAAGTATAGTCACAACGGCTGCCCCGCCCTTCAAACCGAAACGCATTACTGCTTCACAGCAGAAATAGGAGGCAAGGTGGTGGTACCTACCCGTGCGGACTCACAAGAGGTCCTACCACCATTTGTGCAAACTTCATTTGTTTTACAACCAGTAAACCCCAGTTGCCGATCGCAATACCCCAGTATAATACTCAGAGAATGCTGCTGCCCATTCTCCGGTGAATTTCTTAGTGACCTTACACGACTCTCATAAAAACAGATGGTACACAACTGAAACGTCAAAATCTCCAAAAAGTCCTCTTATCAGGTATTGCTTTGACGACGACAACAAATTAAATTTAGTCCAATATTGTGACGCTTTTAAAAACACATTAATATATGTTTATAGTAGAATCTTAAGTCGTCGTGGCCTAAAGGATAAGACGTCCGGTGCATTCGTGTGTAGCGATGCACCGGTGTTCGAGTCCCGCAGGCGGGTACCAATGTTTCTAATGAAATACGTACTTAACAAATGTTCACAATTGACTTCCACGGTGAAGGAATAACATCGTGTAGTAAAAATCAAACCCGCAAAATTATAAAATATAATTTGCGAAATCACTGGTGGTAGGACCTCTTGTGAGTCCGCGCGGGTGGGTACCGCCACACCGCCTATTTCTGCCGTGAAGCAGTAATGCGTTAAAGCCAGGTGGGCTATGAGCTCGTCCACCCATCTAAGCAATAAAAAAAACAAAAAAGGCCAAGCTAAACACAAGAAAATCGTATCTCACAAGTCCTAGTACAAATATTTAGGTATGTGTTGCTTTTGTTGCAAACATTCGGTATTCTACTGCGCCATTGCATTGTTATTCCTCACCTCATGTTGGTGACAGTCGCCTGCTTGTATGGGTGCTCACTTTCGACCCAACTGTAGTATTGCGCTGCGGTCGTGTTTATATTGGTCTCCTCCACGGAAGGCACGAGTAGATTCATAGCACCCACGTGTGGTAAAAGTTTCCGGATCATCTCCAATATTTTGATTACGCTCTGCGAGAAGTATAATCTAGGTCAAAATCAACAGGAACCAAAACGTTCAGCCTGCAGCGCAATGGGCACACGTTTCGGTTCGAATATTAAAACAATTCAAATCAAACAAATAAAAAAAATCCGAATAAGAGGTGATTAGCGACATCCACTCTGTGATCAGTCCAGTCTCCGGCAGGTAACCACTTTAAATTTGATATTAATTGTAATTTATGTATTTCAAAACGGGAGCTCAATTTATATCAATCTGTTACGAAAAAATGTGGGCTTCTCGTGCTTCTAACTATAGCCAAACTAATAAAACGGTATAAATTTTACATAATAATATTATGTACATATCAAGGGGTGAAAGGATATTTGTTGTAAGCGACATTTTTGAAACTTTACAGGAGAGCCATTTAAAGAAAAAAAATATATAAACTTCTTCAGCTATTTGTAAGTAAACATAATAGTTCGATTAAAAACATCGAATTGTTGATGCTAATACCAAATAAAACGGACCTTTATTTACAAAGATAAATTTCGCGTATTAAGCGAAGTATTGCTTAAACCAAGCAACCTGTCACCACTCGATTTAGTCTTATACATTTAATTAATTCAAATCGAAATAGTCGCTTTCACTTATTAATACGATTAATAAAATGCAAAAATGAAAAACAATACTTTATTATTTGTATATTAAAATTTTGCAAATCAAATCAATCGCGTACTTACAATTGAGATATTACATACCTTTGGATCGTCAAGTCCATCCAGGCTGGCCAGAGTATAGGGTATGAGTGTATTGATAGCTGGCGATTGTTGCAACACAGAGGCATTCCTCTTGAGATCCTCGGCCGTAAGCTCATTGCGCAAAGTACAAAACAGCTCCGAGCCCCTCTCCATTACTAAGGACGCCACTCGTAATGTTATAGTACGTAGGGCGGTGACCAGGGAGTCAGTACTCTCCGAGCTGCAGAGCGAAGTTGTAGACGAACGCCTGAATAATAAAATTGGTTTAAGCATTCACCACTTTTCTTTATTTATTTTTTTAAATCCTACCTCTGCTGATAGCCTTGAGAGGCTATTTCAGCTTTACCTTACATGTAAGTGAGCTCACGAGGCTCAAACCAGAGTGTTGCTAACACTAACCCTAGCAAGAGCAGTGCTTCGCAGAATCTACCACCGGATCGGAAACGCGATCCACTGAGAAGATCCCGCGAGAAACTCAGTGGGCTGTGTCTATGGGTTAATTCGCTCGGTAAGGACCGGTACGGTGCTTGTGATACCTAAAAGCACCGTTAATGGATCGGGAGGATCCGGAATGACGTGCTTTGGGCGACGTCGACTGTTTACCATTCGGTCTACAGGATCGGTTATGAATTCACCACGAGCCCCGTCATTGTAATTACGACTTGTACGTAAAGAATCAACTTACGAATAGTAAACGAGGCAAGGTATCTGTCCTCGAGCCAGAGTAGTTCCATTGAAGCTTAGAGAGCACGAAGCAAAACGAAAGGTCGTTCCGTCGGGGCCCTTCACCGAGGGGAGACCGCAGTCACCATTGGCCGTTCGACCACCATGATTACATAGTCGTATGGCGTAACGAATTTCTTCCTAAAACAATAAAAAAATACATATTTTTATATTATGTACCAATTGCACGCTGCATCACAATTAATTAATTTGTTAAGGAATTCGATAATACGATAATTCGATTAACACATTAAGGAATTCGATAATATCCTAAAATACATTCGGAGATTTATTTATTTATTTTTATTGCTTAGTTCGGTGTGCATGCTCACGGCCCACCCTGGTGTTAAGTGGTTACCGGAGCCCATAGACATCTACAACGTAAATGCCGCCACCCACCTGGAGATACAAGTTCTAAAGTCTCACTATAGTTACAACGGTTGCCCCACCCTTCAAACCGAAACGCGTTATTACTTACAGAAATAGGCAGGGTGGTGGTAACTACCCGTGCGCACCCACAATACGTCCTACCACCAGTGAAATAATATATTAACTTATAATATAATATAGGAGATAATATGATATCTTACTTTCAAAAGTATTGGGCGGTCAAACTTCAACTGCACCATATCGTGCTGACACTCGGCTCCACTGAAAGCGCCGTGAGCAACTTCGACGCTAACCCAACAATGAGCAGGATTCATTTCTTCCGGCGACGACCGTGACTGCTGTAAAATATACTTAGTTTCAAAACGTAACTCTCCATTTACGTGACCAGTGTGCTTAGTGCAACTTTTTAACGTTCTCGATATCGATAACGTTTGCCTACGTTTGCCGCTAGGGGCGCTGTTCCAACTGCATACAAAATCGAGTTAATTTTTACGGTATCGAAAACGTTAAAGAAGTCGCACTAAGCACACAGACTAAATACGGTGTGCTACAAACCCTGACGTCGTTCAGCAGCTCGATCGAGTATTCGTAGTTACCGGGGCCGCCGTAAACGCAAACCCCGACCAACATAACGCCGGACCGATCGACGGTAAAGCATATAGCATCCGGACTTCCGTTGCCGGTGTTCCAGGCGCGCGACTGATTGACGCGCATAAAACGCGAAGGCGTCACTAAGTGTTTCACCGAACTAGAGTCCACGTCGTCCTGAACAAATTCATAAATTTGTATGAATATACCTTTTCCATATATATGAACTTTAACAGGTTTTTTTTATTGCTTAGGTGGGTGGTTATGTTAGGTGGTCACTGGAGCCCATAGACATCTATCTACAACGTAAATGCCGCAACCTGCCTTGAGACATGAGTTCTAAGGTATCCGTGTAAAACTAGGGATTGTGTAATTTCACAACTATTCTAACATTATGTATTTCTATATTTTACGTATTACATTTGATAAAAAAATATCTTATAATAATACTGACCCTAATATTGGCAGTGCTGTGGGTAAGTTCGGCAACTATTCTGACGGTAAGTTTGCAGCAAAACTCGGCGAGTCGTTCGTGTTGCTTGATCTCGCCGTGATCGTGAGGCTGGTTGCAAGGACGCGTCATCATCTGACGCTTGATCGGAAGAAGTACAATATCGAGTAGTTTGGTAATCACATCCAACAGATGCCAGTCGCTGAAGTTTTGCTTCGTTTCAGTCGTCTCTTGAAACTATAATTAAAAATATATATATGTTTTAAAAAAATGAATAAGCTCCAACACCTTGTCAATGTGATATTTATTCATTAAGTCGGTTACCTTCGGTGATTCCATATTTCCCGTTCTGGGCGGAATAGGAGGTGGCTTCTGGGCGTACGATGATCTAGGTACGGTCGCCGATTTCAATGGCATTTCTTTGACAACCTAAAAGTATGCATCGTAATACAGAATAATTGCTTTTAATGCGTATATGTTCTAAAATAACAAAAGATATTAATTTGTAAGAATAAAAAAATATTGCGCAAAAATTTTGATAGGCATCGCTTAGTCTCTTACTACCTTACTGTCGGGGCGCTTATTCTCATGCGTTATGAGATAATTTTGAGTGACGGGAACTATGTATTGCAAAACATCTCGCAGACTCCTTGATACACACATCGCGGCACACGTAGCCGTCAGCTCACGAATTTGGGCAGGAGGCACTGTGCCCTCCTGAAAAATTAAAATATTAAAAATAAAAAAAACAATCACTCATAATCAAGTCATCGAATTATCAGTTACGGATTTTGTTAGATACCTTTACATAAAATAGCAGGCTGCACATGTGGTTCCATTTTAAAGTGGGCGTCGGAAAGAATGCGTGAAAACAGGCAGTGACCGTGTCGTGTGCCTCATTGAAAACTGAATGCATCAGCTCCAACGCAAACTGAACATAGCAAACTCGACTAGACCTAATCCTGCCCACTCGTCTTGGGATCCGAGAGCAAGTTGGGGTACAATCGGCCATTATCATTTGTATTAAATTCCTCACTTCTCCTATGGATTCAAAGTATGACATATACTCGTGCGAATTGCGTTTTCTGTTGTTTTGAGGGTATATTTCGTTGATGTAGAACTTCACGAGTCTCAGACAAGACCTCACCACGTACACTAATCGCTTTTGCTGCTTCATCAACAGCAGTTTTTGGTAGGTAATAGGAATCTGTCCGTTCGTGTCCAAAATGAATTCTTTTAAAGATGCCCATCCCCAAGTTAATAGTGATATTAAAGATCTGAAGCACGGCACTGTAACTTTCCTTGATATATTTTTACTGAGAGGAATTATTGGTTCTCCCGGGTCGGTAATCCTCATTGGAAGATTATGATCGGGCGTTGCAATATTGTACAGGAGACACGGTATCTGCCCAGCATTAACGTCGGTACCGTTGTTCGATTTCTTCGAAGATTTGAAATGGAAACCGACTTCATCATTTATTACCATCGCTTGTCCCGAAGAACCACAGTCCGATGATGGACCGTTCATGCAAGCCCATGCCAAATACCATCGGTTTGCCTGCAAATTTTTTAAATACATGACACAAGTGTTGGTTATTTTAAATCAAATACTTGTAACTCACTGGCGATTGTATTTTTTTTTTTTTTATTGCTTAGATGGGAAGACGAGCTCACAGTCCACCTGGTGTAAAGTGGTTACTGGAGCCCATAGACATCTACAACGTAAACCCACCCTGAGATATAAGTTCCAAGGTCTTAAGTATTACGGCTGCCCCACCCATCAAACCGAAACGCATTACTGCTTCACGGCAGAAATAGGCAGGGTGGTCGTAACTACCCACGCGGACTCACAAGAGGTCCTACCACCAGTAATTACGCAAATTATAATTTTGCGTGTTTTATTTTATTACACGATATTATTCCTTCACCGTGGAAGTCAATTGTGAAATATTTAGTAAGACCTTAATACTCACAACTATTGGTACTGGTGTTTCGAACAGTACCGGGAAACGATCCCTCGGCGCGCACTCGAATACAATTTCGTCGCTCTCGGCTAACAATTCACCATCAGCCTCTTGATCTCCGCCGTCAAGTCCAATGTCATATAACTTTATCTTCGCAGTGTAATCCCCACGACCCCCAAACAGCCCATAACCGCCTAAGAAAATAAGTCATGTAGCATCTCAATGTTAACTCGAGCCCTGAAGCTCGGTATCTTACCCTTGCAAGGCCCTCGTGACCATCAAACGCTTATACTTAAATTGAATAGCATCGTCATTTAAAATGTCTGCCTAATCAACTGCTTAACCGGATACCTTGCCATAGGTATCGGTGACCAACCTAAACAGTTACGGTTGAATTAATTCATTTTATAACCATAGATAGTATACAGGTGAGCATTCCATCTGGTCAAGTCTCCGTTGCATTTGAAAAACTACTGTCCTACCTTCGAACCAGGAATCACAATCGCTTTTGTGGTGGAACACAACACACGGTACTGTGATTTCATACCAAACTTGGAATGGCCTGCCACGAAATATGTTTTTTTTTTTATATTTCGTACACAAAGATCAATGACGAAAATATAATTTATTAAATAGGAGTAGACGAGATAGTATATTACCTTCTAATAATACCTTCTAATTTTTTTTTTCGTAAAGTATAATCGTAAAGACTTGATCAAAAGGATAAAAGTGACAGCTGGGGGTTGGGGATCGGGGGATTTTTTTACGGCCTATGAATTTAATAATCAATCCAGATTTTACATCAGTCATAATGCAAAGTTTAATCGATCGCAGTGATAAAACCGTAGTTATTGTCCATGATTTCTGGCCCGACAATCGTGGCTTAGTCCTGGTATTTAATATATTTAAGTATTTATTTAAAGGTATGTACCTAAGTAAATAATTGTTTCTTGGAGCCTGATAAGCGTGTGAGATTTTTCTTAGATTATTTATTCATTATACCTAGCTATTAAAAATATTGAAACAATACCAAGAGTTTTCTGTAACACATTTTTTTTCTGCTCATTAAAACTTTACAGATTTATGTTTCCGAAAATTATTACGAGTATACTTGATATTAGTTCTCAAATTTAACAAATATTCATTTCATTTTGTAGCAATGCTCACATAACGGGGGTACGTGATCGCACCAAACACTCACAAGCTCAACCTGGGTATTACAATGGTAAAGCAAAATTATTTTCATGTGCACAAAATACTTTGCTTACCTCTTTGACCTTTGACGAACTATAAAACCGACACTTACCACATTTCTTTGTCTTTGGAACGTTTAAATTTTGAAATAATTTTATCATAACATAATACGAATTTTTACGAATGAAACAAAATTCCATGCTTTCATTGTTGACCAGAATTCATGAGTCATTGCATTCTTTATCACTTACCTTTTGTTAATCAACCAAATAATAATTGAATCGCAATATAGTAGCAGTGTGTGCTAAGTTAATGCTGCTTAAAGCTTTTCCTTATTAAATATTAGTAGGATAAATCATCAAATAGCGTTGTACAAAGCTTGGCAGATTGATCGGTAATGCTTCATAGCTTATGATGAAGGGATATTTTATAGTTCCCCCCCAACAAATGGAAAGCTTCAATGTTGCTTGTCAAAATGATAAAATGGTAGCACCTTCGTATTATGATTTAGGTAAGCTAAAAGTGCTTTAAAATAACCAAAAATTTGTGTAATTCAACCCGTTTAGTACCTAGCAATATATCGGTGTCGCACATAAACCGTATAGCTTCAACGGAATGTCCAGAGTATCCCCACCCTCCGCCGTGGCTCTCGAAACGGTTCACGGTGAGGAAGTCCTCTTTCATGGACGCCTCTGGAGCAGACGCGTTGTCTCGTTTACACTCCACTTGACTCAGCCTGACGTCAAATTGCAATCTATATATTAATAAAATTAAGTCAACTAAAGCATCTACTTGCCAAACACTATACTACTGAAAACGGTATGCAAAAACTGTGATTTATGATTGTGACTTGTTGCATGACGTAGGTATTAACGATGACTTCGTAGAGCCTTTATGTGTCTAGCTTAAAGTAGGGTAAAAACTTGCAATAAAACCGTTCGAGAGTGCGGGAATCGGTCATCTATTAAAAAAAAATCATTAGAAAATCTAAGCAAACCAATACAATACTTACAAAATGCATATAAACATGAGAATGGTTTCATATCAGTGGCCATGAAGAGCTAATTAAAATTCAACGAAATCAATCAAAACAATGTCATCCAAAAACTATTTTCAAAATGAATGACCATCGAAAATTATTCTATGAAATCTTGCTAATAGTGCGTTACTGTTATTTCTACATAGTCATTTCTGTTATTATTTCAGCTAAGCCTAGTAGCGTAAAACCGTTGCAGGATAAAACTTAGGATAAAACACACACTTACTTGTTATCGTGTGCATAGTTCAGGGAGTCGAGACACGCGAGCAGATGCAGGACCGCGTGCATTCGTGTGATTGAACACTTTGGCGCACACGGTATAGCCAGCTCTTGGCTCAGAACCGACATGTTCACTAGAGCCACGATATCGGTCGGCTTCTCTTCATTACTGCATGTCACTTCGAAACTCTCCAAGTTCTTGAAATCTTCCAAGCGCCTCATGTTTCCGCAGCTCGGATAATCGAAATCATTGTCGTCATCGTAACCGTCAGGGTCATTGTTGCAGCACCTCTGTATCTTGTGCGCATCGAATGCTAGTATGTTGTAACATCTTATCACTTGCACCTGAGGATGGTAGCACCACAGGACATCGTAAAGCGGATCGAGGCACGCGAGTGTGTTTACAAAGTCGACTTGTTCTGAACCTGTCCAAGCATTACAAGTTCCGTCGTTCTTATTGATGGTCAGACATTTAAATGTGTGCTCCGGGCGATTCGGAAGAATCACTGTAATAAACGTTAATGTTTACCATTCGCCGAACTATGAGAGATCAAATCTAATTTAAATACAATACTTACGAATACAGTTATTGTTGGAAGTAATGGTCGAGCTGAAAAGCGTATCGGTTTTGATGAGAGCTTGAGAGATTTGCACGAATGTTTGGTCCCCTGAAGCCGAAATCCAAACGGCCTTGCATGAATACCGCGGACCCAGTCGGGGTACTCTCCCTGGGGTAGCGTACCATATCAGACCTCTCTCCGAGCGAGGCGCGTCGTCATCGCAAGGACGACCGAGTGACCCTTTCTGAATACGAACAACAATAATCATAACAACACAGAAAATAAATATATTACGACAAATTTCTCAAAGCGAAACTAACCTGATAACTGCCAAAAGTGAAAAGTTCTCCATCTCTAGTCAGGACAGCAGTGTGATTACTGCCAGCCGCGATGGCTGAAGCTTTAGGTACCTTTACTCGGATTATTCGATGATGTGTTGATATATCGCCTGCGCCCAACTGACCAAACTGGTTTGAGCCGAATGTCAAGACTTCACCTAATAACGAAATGCCTATTTATTATACAAACATCAATCTATGGGATAGATGTTGTAAATGTATAATAGATAACCCTTTGAAAACACGGTAGATATGTTCCTACAGTCCCGTGTTGTGCGAAACCGTGCTATGAGACTAAAAGCCAGTATAAAAAGAGAGAGAGTAATTTTTCTGAATGAAACATTTCAATTATGCCTGTATGTATTTTTTTACCTATTATATATAGAAAATAAACATTAAAATTTCCGTTATTCCCATATATTGTGTGTTCATAGTGCATAATGTAATTTACTAAATAATTTTAAACAAAAATCTCGTTATCGTATTGTAGAAGTACCGTATTAAAAGAAAGTTTTAGGGACTTTTTCTTTTCGTGTTAGAGTGAAACCCTGTTATAAAATGGGTATTTTACAAGATTGTTATAGGGTTATCTGTAGATATTACGAAAATAGTCGAATTGGTATTACAGATTTTGTCAACATAGAATGTGCAGGCAAAATCTACCTTTGCTGCACGGTCTCAGAGGTATTCCTCAGCAAAACTCACCATGTTCGGTGAGTAGCACAGTATGATGAAGCCCACACGCAACGGCCGCGACGCGGTGTCCTCCGGGCACAGCCACGCGAGCAGGCGGAAGACAACTCACTTTGAAGCTGGTGTCTCTATCGTCTAGACCGCTTGAATGTCCCTCGTATTGCGTATACCTCGATGGCTCCGGGTCTAAAGTAAATATTACTAGTTAAGCCGCACAGCCAAGACTTTCGCTAAATAAATGGATTGCAGGAATTCAGTATTTTAAATAAAACTTTATTTTCATAACAATAATGAATTTATGACATAGTTAACAAGGTTATCTCTTGTAACCGTTGAAGAGCAACCTTTCGTTCCTCAGCCAAAATCTACTATAAAAATTTCGATGAGCTTGCAATTACACTGGTATTAACAACCTCGCCATCGAACCAAAGAATTACAAATTTAAATAGCGCATAGAAAAGACAAGAGGTTTTTAAATAATAAATAAGAAACAACACTCGAAAAGCAACACAAAAATAATTTATCGCACATTTATGTACTGATATCAATACCATTCTTAGCTTCTGCTGCGGTCGATGTCTCGGCGTCCGCGTCGTCGTCGGCGTCCGAGACACGCTCGGTACATTCGGCGCGTCCGGCCGCGGCAAACGCGTCCGCACATCGACGGCAAATTCCACAAACGCTGCAGCCGCTATCGCCTTCACCGCACCCACACTTTCTACACAAATTTTAAGCAAATTTACTATTTTGTCAAATTCCAGGATTCGGTAACGAAAACGATCGCGTTGATAACTTACTCGCCGTCACTTTACTTTTTGGCGGGGACGCGAGGAGTAAAGTTGTGTGATTTTGTTTTATTTTGTCTATTTAGAGTTTCTTCGGGTTTAAATGTGTAATAACGGTGGTTTATTAACTGTTTAATATCTGTGAAAGTGCACAATTGCGGGAAAATGAAACAAAGCCGCTGGACGTAACTTCTGACCGCCATTTTACTGAGATTATATATTTCACCCCATATCATCTCATCTCATTTTATTTTATTTCATCCCAGTTGATTAATGTCCTAAATTAATGATTTTCATTCCATTTCATTTCGCTCCATATTATATTTTTTCATAAAATTAAGAAATATATTAAAATAAGACATGACTTAAAGGTCTTAGTTACCAGGTCATAAAATCCCTTAAAAAAAACTTACTCTCCGGGCACTCTGTTTGGTAAATGAGAGCAATGGCACGCATTAGAGAATCCCGTGCACTCGCAGCAGAGCACGCACACGCGACAATAGTCCGTCGTCCAGCTATGCGGCGTCTGGCATATGCGGGCTTCGTCTTTGTTCTCGTCATGATGACGAGAATGAGACGGTTCTAAACAAAACAATACGCTATATAAAACTTTAATAGCAAAGACATAACAATTCGATATTTAAATTTTGAGTAGTGACATCACAGAAATCTTTACAGTGGCTTGGTGTTCCTAACACCAGGCGTCTTATCCTTTGGACCAAGATTACCAAGATAAGATTTTAGAGTAAGAGACAATTACGATAAAACGACACAAACTGTTTTTTTTTTTGCATAGATCGATGGACGAGCTCACAGCCCACCTGGTGTTAAGTGGTTACCGGAGCCCTACAACGTGAGTGCCGCCACCCACTTCGAGATATAAGTTCAAATGTCTCAGTAAAGTTACAACGGCTTCAAACCGAAATGCATTACTGCTTCAGGGCAGAAATAGGCGGGGCGGTGATACCTACCCGTGCGGACTCACAAGAGGTCCTACCACCAGTAAAAAGTGTGCTTACTTTCTTTTGTATATCCAAATTCGCGACCGCACTGTCCCTTATTGTTTATACCAAGGGTATAGACCAGTCCGAAGCTCGTTAAAACAACTGCATGAGCTTTCCCTAGCGCCACCTGAAAAAGTTTCAATTCGACATCAATTCCATGTAAAACATTATCATTTATTTCATGATATCACTAATGTTTTTGGAAAACTTCATACCTGTATGACTCGTTCGTGTCTGAGACCGAGAACTAGTCCCGACGAATCGCAATGCAGGGTGTCTTTTCCGAACATTAGTAAGAGACCTTGACGCGTTACCAAAGCGGTGGAGCCATAGTTACAAGCCGCATAAACTATGTGATGTCCTTCAGCCTGGAATATTAATAAAAATGTACATATATTTCGGTGATTTTTTTTTCTTCACTTATTTTTTTATTTATTACTTAAGTAGGGGGACGAGCTCACGGCCCTCCTGTGGTTGTTATGTTAAGTGGTTACCGGAACCCATTGACATCTACAACGTAAACGCCGCCATCTATCTTGAGATATAAGTTCTAAGGTCTAAGGTTCTAAGGTACAACAGCTGCCTCACCCTTTAGACCTAAACACATTACTGCTTCATGGCTGAAATAGGCAGTATGGTGGTAACTACCAGTGCGGACCCATAATACGTTCTACCAACAGTAATTACACAAACTATATCTTTTGCGGGTTTGATTTTTATTGCATGATGTTATTCCTCCACCGTGGAAGTCAATCGTGAACACCGGTGCATCGCTAGATACGAATGCACCGGTCATCTTATCCTTTAGGCCACAACGACTTCAAAATTATTCATTTAATAGAGTAGTGAGGGCGATTTTATCCAGTACAATAATATGTTTGGATATTAATTCAAATGTAAGTATCGAAGTTATTATACGACTCTGTCGTCTTTGGTACGGTTGGAGGTTGGAACTAATGTTGCTATCGCAAAATTTTAGTGGTTTTTTCAAAGTAAATAGTTATTTCAAGTTATTATAAAGACAAACCTTGAATATCTTTTTAGGCCTTGTAGGTTTTGGTGTCCGTCGATGTCTGATCGCATCACCATCTTCTCCTCGTCTTGCCACACCGGTAAACAAAGCCGTGCCGTTGTCTAGTACTAATATAGCGTGTACGCCCTCATGACCGACGGCCACCTTAAATCATTTATAAATATCTATATCTATACTAATATATAAATCTACAGTTGTTTTTACGGATGTTCCGTTATAACTACTGAACCATGCATCCGATTGACTTGAACCTTGGTATCCTTGTAGAAAATACATGTACTTAATGGATAGGTTAATATTTACATGAGTGTTGAACTCCCTACACCAGTTGCAGGAGCGTTAATGATGAGAATCTTTGTGGGGGTGAGAAATAATAATGTTAATTTTAAATGGCCAGCGAAGCGGACGGGTACAGTTAGTTAGTGTATATTTCCTACAATATAATTTCGTTATTTAAATAAAACGTATTATTGTGCAGATTTTAATAAAATTCACCTGAGCAATTTTTGCTTTTTTTGCATTCGGCGCTTCGTTCTTCGTGACTGTTGTTTCTTTCATTAAAGTCCATTTTTTTGTGTTAGCAGATGCCGCTTTGTAACCGAGACTACTGCCTTTGCCGCAGTAATATACCTGTAAAAGTTTCTAATTTAATTTGATTTTGTCAACGTACTATATTTTTTAAAGATTTCTAAGATAAATATTCTATATAATTTTATAGTCATTTTTATAATTATAGATTTTTTATAACTTTTTGGAAAATACTGTTGCAGAACAATGCTATCCGATCGAAAAGGGACATACTGCTATCGGAATAGCAATAAAATTACTAACTCTTGTTAAAAATATTCATAAATCAGTCAGTAAAATGACAAAATTTCCACAACAAAAACCCAATTATGGGCCAATTGCTAGTTAAAGATAAGTAAGCCGCCGATAGTCAAGCCGCTAACGAACCCGCAATCCTATGTTATGATGAATGGATGTATAAAATACCGTGTCTTATTTATTCAGAATGTGCCCTGCACGTATACGACAAAGGGAAGATCTTTCACCGAGCGGGTGATATTGCTCGGTAGACCGGACCGGTTGTTGTTCGGAACTTGTATATATACTAACTTATCTTGAAAATGTCGTAAGCAAGGTTCAGGCAATTGTCAAATATCTTGTGTTCTATGATGGCTACCCGCCACATGCCCTGTGTGATAAATCACCCTGCTATTATTCATACAAATAAAATAAATACTCTAATAAACAAACCTTTCCTGATACAGTTGCTAGCAGTCCAAATTCTTGTCCCCCACAAATACTCAAGAGGGGGTCGTCGTCATTATCATCAAGTTGTGTTGCAACCGGTACGTCCATATCAAGGGGCCGACGTGGCAGGATGTCTTCGAATGGCGCCCGACCCATTACTAACGTTCTACGCCTTAATAAGTGCACATTGAATTCTTTCTGTGAAGTCAAGATGTTTGTTCCTTCCTGACGACTTGCAGTGTCCACACTATACATTCGTATCGTCAACGTGTCCTGATTTAACACAAACAATAGATTAATAACAAAACGGTAGGTTACAATGTGCATTTATTTTACTTATTTCAATGAACAGCTCACGGTGTTGCATGCTTGCTTTTGTTTAAAGACATCATAAAGTGAATGTCATAAGACATGAAAACGATAGATATTAGTTACTTACAAATTTTGTGAGTAAGATTAGCCCAATTTGATTGCCATCACTAAACACGGCGGATTTAGATTCAATCGGTGCTGGTAGCCCTGGATCTAATTTGATTGTTTGTCGTACTTCTAGTGTATCTCTATCTATTTCGTAGATATCAGTCTTTTTTCTACCAATTCTTACAAACAACTTAGTCTGAAATATAAAAATATATGATACGGCATTGGAAATATCTTTAAAACATTTTCACTTTGTCACTGTTCCAACCTTGTAACATTTTAGCATAAACAACGAGAATTTACTTAAAAAACGGGATTGACTTATATTCGTTTTGATGTTGCAAGTCTGTTTTTTTTGTATGAAAGCAAGATAAATTTGAGTTTGAAATTGACACGACTCAGAAAATTTGGCTAAGCTAGAAAGACAACGCCATACATAATATGTTACGATTTTATTTTCTCAGATATAAATTAACACTTACTCTACAATACCCAAGCCATCCATGTCGCTCACCCGCGAAAAAATCTGGTTTATAAGAATAAACATGTTGCTTTATAGAACTGCCATAACCAGAGCCAATCTTCAACAATCCTTTGGAAGTGAAAACATAGAGATAACAACCGTCCGATACAAGAGACCGTACAACTAGGTCACCCGAACCAGACGTTAACGAAACTGGAAGATCTACAGGAAAACTGTTGATGAGCGACAGTGATGGTACACCGTACTGCAACCACTGGTTACGGGATGGAGAACCCAGAATAACGGACTGAACGCTTCGTTGTAGCGTGGTCAGATTTGCAGGAGTCTAGAAATAAATGAATGTTCAAAATTAATGTCAATAACAAAAAAAAGATACATATTTTACATAACTTTTAAATATTGAAATTCTCACCTTCAAGTATTGGTCTAAGTACAATGGAGCACACATTGCCAAGGAGGCCGCTGCATTTAATATTAATTCAGCTTCGCCACGTGCGACTGACAATGCAATTAAACAAGAGCTGCTTAAAGCTGTGAGTTTTGAAGGATGTTCAGAACGACCACTAGGGCTCACACCACTAGACACTTCAACTAGCATAGAATGTATATTAAAGATCATCTGTAAATAAATAACGCAATGACAATTTAGAAAAATTAATATTATTGTTTTAAACCTTATTTTCTTCTTCAGGAGCTACTTACATCGGTTGGTTCTTGCGAAAGCTCTTCAGGAGAATGCCCTTGCAGTACATCTAAGAGTGCTTTTAACGCTTGCTCGCAAAAATGCGGATTGGTTATCTTAGCTTGTGAAATAAGAGAGAAAACTGTACGAAGACCTACTCCTGTGATCTGTAAACATTATAATGAATTTATTGGGTGTTTGTTTAAAAAAAGTAATCTAAAATATGTTCTTTGTACTAAATCTGTCAAGAAAGTACCCCGGGAAAAGTACAAGAATCTACAAAGTTTTAGTTATTCATCCAACTTTATTTTATCATCTTCAAAGTATGCTCCTTCAGATTAGACATTTACGCCAAGGAATAATCCATTCATCAAAATAATTTAAGCACTATTTCCGGAATTGAGTTTAGTTCTCGCCGCGAATTATTTTTTGTCGTCTACCGAATGAAAACGGATGCTACAAAGTGGTAATTTGAGTTTAGGCAAAATGAAGAAGACAGCTGAGGCCATATCTGGTGAAAAAGGAGGTTGCTCGATGGCATTCGTTGAGTTTTTTGTAAAAAAAAATTCGATCACAATGATGGCGTATGTATTACCTTAGGCAATTTGTTGATAGGAACTGGGGAAACACCTTCTTCATTGTCGCTGTCATCAGATGCCTCTGAAGAATTACTTTGGAGATTTCTCCAACGGGCCAATATGGATCGCCTAACCGTAGCATAAACAGCAAATTGAGATGGATTGCCCAGAAGAGCAGGTGCGTAGCATATTGTAAGAGTACCTCCAGCTTTTAGTCTGTGGAACTTATCTTTTTTCCCAATTTTCTTATGAGTCTTTTTGTCATTTTTTCTGTAATAATAATTTAAATACTATTTAATAACATTTTTTTTATTGCTTAGATTGGTGGACGAGCCCACAGCCCACCTGGTGTTAAGTGGTTACCGGAACCCATTGACATCTACAACGTAAACGCCGCCACCCATCTTGAGATATAAGTTCTAAGGTCTAAGGTTCTAAGGTACAATAGCTGCCTCACCCTTCAGACCTAAACACATTACTGCTTCATGGCAGAAATAGGCAGTATGGTGGTACCTACGCGTGCGGATTCACAAGACGTCCTACCACCAGTAATTACGCAAATTATAATTTTGCGGGTTTGATTTTTATTACACGATGTCATTCCTTCACCGTGGAAGTCAATCGTGAACATTTGTTAAGTACGTATTTCATTAGGAAATTTGGTACCCGCCTGCGGGATTCGAACACCGCAGCATCGCTAGATACGAATGCACCGGACGTCTTATCCTTTAGGCCACGACGACTGTCAAAAACGTTTTTATAAAGATTTATTTCTTAAATTCAATTCAAATTCCTTATTCAATTTTGACAGATTGTAGCGCTATATAATATTACCTTGTGCCACTCCAGCATAAGGCTCTAAAATACTGTCTGTAGTTCTCGGGATCTATGCAGCTTAGCTCTGGTGTTGGTACCCTGAGTGCCATGTTTCCAGTGAGATGATTTATGTCTGGAACAAACATCAAACTTTAACAATAGGCTTCACAACTTCAGATTCAAGAATATAACACTAACACCGTAATATAATACTAACATACAAAGCCATTAAACAAAACAAAAATCAACTTATTTGAATTTATCGATACGAATTTACAAGTCGTGTTTATTACGCTTACCACAGTGGCTTCAAAAACAATAATAATTGAATATGAATTTTATTAAATATTTGGCACTGGCATTTGGCATTTGGCACAGTTATCGCTCATATCCTGGAATATGGGATGGATAGGAATGCTTTTCCAATAACACCTAAATATGAGATGTTGTATTCGTCCGACTCCAAAATTAGACATACGTATATATATTTTTATAGTTACGATAAATTGAGGAGCTCAACGCCCACTTGGTGTTAAGTGGTCACCTATACACATTAACCACGTAATTGCCACCACCCATCTTGAGAAATGAGTTCGAAGACTCAACAACGTCCTTCAAACCGAAACGAATTACAGGTTGACGGCAGAAATAGACAGGGTAGTGGTACCTATCCGTGCGGACTCCATGACTTCCTACCATCAGTAAATACGCAAATTATTATTTTTTGAGTTTTGATTTTTATTATACGCGTTATTTCTTCAGCGTGGAAATCATTCATGAACATTTGTTAAATACGTATTTCATTATAAAATTCCTAACTACCCAAGGGATTCGAACAATGGTACAGTCATATTCCTGGATACGAATGCACCGAGCGCTCTATCCTTTAGGCCAAAACAATGTCATCTTCCGTTCAATAATGAAATCCCCCAAAAGTTTATATTTTTTTCTTTTTCTGCATGCTACATGTTATGCTTGTGTAGGCAGTATTCTATAAGCATCAAACCGGTGGGAAGGGCTGAATCCCACGCTCGGATTTATTTCTAAATGTGGCAATGGGTATTGTGTAATTTCTATTAATTATGTACATATTTAGATTGTTAACAAGAGTGGCTTTTTTTAAGGCATTTGTTCTGAATAATAATAAGAACACGTCATTATTAACAAATTTTTACACATTTTTACACTACACATTTTTATTTAAATAAGAAAACGCAGATATAAAAACTTGCTGCAAAATTTTGTGATTTGAGTTTAAGAGCAGCAGTTGATGTTAAGTGGTTACTGGAGCCCATGGACATCTACGACGTAAATGCGCCACCCACCTTGAGATATAAATTCTAAGATCTCAGTATAATTACAACGGCTGCCCCACCCTTCAAACCGAAACGTATTACTGCTTCACGGCAAAAATAGGCAGGGTGGTGGTACCTACCCGCGCGGACTCACAAGAGGTCCTACCACCAGTAATTACGCAAATTATAATTTTGCGGGTTTCACTTATATTACACGATGTTATTCCTTCACCGTGGAAGTCAATCGTGAACATTTGCTGAGTACGTAATTCATTAGAAAAATTGGTACCCACCTGAGATTCGAACACAGGTGAATTACTCAACGCGAATGCAATGGACGTCTTATCTCTTAGGCCACGACGACTTCAAAAGAGTGAGCAAGATAAAAATAATGGGCAAATATTTGTCTCAAGTATAAGTATTGCCCATTACTAGCCATAACTATTGCCTATTATTCTCGCCGATTTTGAATACCTTGACATAGAAGTGTTCGTTTTTAATGCCTATCCACGAATTAAATTATTCTTTAGAAGAGAATCACTTTATCATGCTCTGCTAGTATTGTGGCCGTTTTCGCGCAGTGCTTCGCCTATCGCATTAATTGTGTTAGCTAACGTTCCCCAGTGGTAATTTCGTTCGTTTGGAATGTAACTTTGTAATTATGATGTATATTCGGCATTCCGACCTGGACATAACCATTGCAGCGTGATATTTATTTGGTCGAGTCGACAAAGTAGAAACATGACCGGGTAATCCCCAAAATTCTATTTAGGTTTTTCGATTTAAGTTGCTGAGGAAGAAAATCTTTCCTTTTGTACTACTGGATAAGTAGTTCACAGGAAACAAAACACCACACAACATATCTTATTAACTTATAAGGTACCCCAGTTCCTTGCTTTTGAATCAGTCTCAACAAAAAATCCATAGCGAGTGATTCTCATCAAGCAATACCTGGAAGCATTGCATTCAGCATCTACAAAGGCTTAGACTTTCTGTCAAGCAGATGAACGATAACATCGAAATCTATCTTCTATCTTTCAGCCCACAGATCGTCAAGCTTCACCACAACGACCAGTCCGGCGCTGCCTGTGTCCAGCAGTTTCCTGCTACCTTCAACAGGTCATCGTTCCACTTTAGGTGAGGCCTGCATGGACTAAGTCTTCCAATAGGCAGTTGCCACTCAAGAACTGTTGCCACTCAAGACCTAGTGGCCATCTGTTCTATAAGCAATGTAACCAGCCCTCTGCCACTTCTACCTCACAGTCCTTTGGGATGTTGGTTATCATGGTTCTCCTGCTAATCTTCTCATTCTCATCTCACAGGGAAACATCAAAATCACTGCATTTGAAGCAACAGCACTAATATTTACTCATTTTTTAGCACTGCGCTGCATCACCATAAACTATTTGGAGGTCTTAATTTGCTACACCAACAGTTTTTTTTTCCGTATAAAGAAAAACAACACTTTCCACAAATAACACTCACTTGGTGCAAAAGCAAATATTTTCACACAACCAAAACTATTTCACACAACAACAAAATCACAAATGTGTCAAAGTAGGTTATTTACCATATGTCTAAGCTTAGTTTACAATGTTTTATATTTGTAAAAATCGACCAGCACTTATTGCTGCAGCCATTTATTAAGCAGCAAGAATTTAGTGGCATCCCAAATAATTAAAATATTAACATTATCTGGCTTGAGCTATGGTTTGGTAGGAATTAACTAACTAGCTATGCTATACCTGCAGGAAGATTTTGTCCCTATTATACCCATAATCCTCTTGCAACCCATGTATCCTAACTTTCAAAGCTAATCCACCACTTCATGAAGCTCTACCTTATGAGTGGTAAACTTATGAGCTCAAAGTGAGTGGTTTTATGCCTCAGGCCAAAACAACATTCACAGTAGTACTTATGTACGATTGTTACTGTTTAATACTACTTTTAGTCTACCAATCTAATATAGTTCAAAATAAGTAAAAATAACACATAATGTGATTAGTGACTTTAATTCTAAACTTAAATGTCACTAATATCCGCTAAATGCAGTTGGTAATGGTATTCTAATCTTCGCTTAGCTATAAGAAGTGGTTCGCAAGACTAGCTCAGCAGCTTTGGCACTTAAATCCTTAATATATATTGAAACTATTAAAATTGATAAGTATATAAATAAAGGAGATAAATATTTATAATATAATATTTGAGATATATATTTATAATATGCAAATATAAAAAGAAAACGAATATAAAGAAAGAAAGAAAGAAATATTTTTTAAATAGTAGAATCTATCTATACATACTTTCGATTTGTACAAATATTTTAAACGTGATATAGAAATATAAATCATAATCGCGTGAGCTAGGTAGATAGTCGCAATTTTATTCATTTTTTTTATTTATGTTCGCAACTACATATGTAACGATTTTTCCATTTAAATATTTATAAATAATAAATAATTAAACAACATGAAACAAAATCTACTACCTGTCTATAAGATGGTGACATTTTCGTTATTTAACACACATATTCACTTAAAGTTCAAAAATGTCTTTCGACCAAGTATGTACCTGGATAGTGGATGGATACCTAGGTAGGTTCCTACCAGCTACCTACTCAACGTCAAAAATCAATAACAAAATTGAGTGCTACCAGGAATTACGAGTTAAAAATGTTAGCTGCTTCAGAAGCCTGCATAGATTATACACTTGAAGCCTGCCTACGTCTAGTGTATAATCTATGGTACATACTAACTAAAATATTTAAAATGGACTTTTTGGCGGGAACGCGAGGAGTGAAGTTGCGTGATTTGTTTTATTTTGTCTATTTAGTGTTTCTTCGGGTTTAAATGTGTAATAATGGTGTTTTATTAACTGTTGAATATCTGTGAAAGTGCACAAATGTGGGAAAATGAAACAAAGCCGCTGGACGTAACTTCTCCGGATCCTTTTTTTTTATTTTTTTTTTATTTCTTATATGGGTGGACGAGCTTACAGCCCACCTGGTGTTAAGTGGTTACTGAAGCCCATAGACATCCACAACGTAAATGCGCCACCCACCTTGAGATACAAGTTCTAAGGTCTCAAGTATAGTTACAACGGCTGCCCCACCCTTCGAACCGAAACGCATTACTGCTTCACGGCAGAAATAGGCAGTGTGGTGGTACCCACCCGCGCGGACTCACAAGAGGTCCTACCACCAGTAATTACGCAAATTATAATTTTGCGGGTTTCATTTTTATTACACGATGTTATTCCTTCACCGTGGAAGTCAATCGTGAACATTTGTTGAGTACGTAATTCATTAGAAAAATTGGTACCCGCCTGCGGGATTTGGACACCGGTGCATCGCTTCAACACGAATGCACCGGACGTCTTATCCGTTAGGCCACGACGACGATCCTCCAGAAAACACTGAAAAAATCTTAGTAAATGATGTTCAAAAGATTCAAAGGCAGAAAGATTAAATGCCAGTCCTATACTCAATTTCAGGTAAATCAACTTCATTCGTATTTCGTTTAAACTCATTTTTAAATCGCTAAACTATTAAAATAAAATGAACAATAAGCTAAAAGACAAGAATCTAAGACGTTAAATAGTTAAAAAGAAAAAAGCTAGAAAAATAAGCTATTTAGATTAATATTTTAAACAGTTAGTTATGGCAGTGATGCCAGGTGCATGGTAATTACAGTAGATTCACTGTAATTTCACTGCTTTTACGGTCTACTGTATTGCAAAAATATTATGTATGAAAAACAAGATAATGTATTTCATATGCAAAGCAAAGTTTTGCTCACCATAAGCAATAACAGGGAAATCCCCACAAATAGTTTTTTTCAATTGAATGAAGAAGATCTCCGGGAGTTCACTGATTATTAGACTCAAGACTTATAGATATTAATAAACAAAATATAAATGTATGTTTTTCGATACTTTTTTGTAATATTGCTGTGTAATAGTACTGTGGTACTCTATTGTCTAACAAAGGTCGAATAAAAGAAATATAAATTTTAAGCAACAGTTATACATTGATTGGCTACAGCATGAACATTTCAAAAAATGGTTGTAACTTGACTTTGATTTGTACGGGGGCATTGAAACGCCAAAGCAAAAAGTAAAGAAAATATTTTTAATACTCAAACTTCTCGAACTCTGTTGCTGTCGTATTTAAAAAGTTGCAACATCGGTAACTACGCGACATACATACATTAACATATGCGTAAATCTGCGGAAACAAAAATGAAAGCTTTTACAACTGAGAGGAAAATCAAAATGTAGCGAACAAAACGTTGTAAGTCTAAAAAGCAGAATTTATGAGATTTAGAACCTTACAGATTAAGAGTGATCATTGACGAAAATACTGATATAGCTACAACTAAGAAAATTTGTGTTGTTGTCGAATATTTTTGACCTACTGACGGTCAAATTGTTAGTAACTTTTGGAACACTGTGATAGGGTGTAACAGCTCAGTATTCACTCGATTTCGGTTGGCGTGGCCTGGAATAATATTTTTTAAATATGTTGGTCAGTCGTTACATCTTTGCACCAGCGACACATGCAAACAATTTCTTTAGCCCTTTTTGCTGATGATACGGACATCTACGGCTCAAGTAGGAAGATGCCTAATAAACTACAGGTCACGGCCACCAATTTAGGACAGTGGTTCCAGAAATGGCGCATCGACATTAACCCTACGAAAAACGCAACTGTGCTCTTTACCTCGCCCTCCTGACACCGTTACCAACATCTTGTCCAGAATAAGGCGCGATAAATCTATTCCCGCCAACACAACCTTTGGCCAGTCCATACAGTGAGCTTCGAAAACCAAGTAGGCACCTAGGCGTCTACCTTGACAAAGGGATGAGATTCGGTCCCCACATCAGGTTATTACGTGACCGAGCCGTGTTCTGACTCGGTCGACTCTACCTCATGATGACACTACAAAATTTGCATACATTCGATCACGACATAAGCAAGTGTAGTGCTCGCCCACGGAGCCCGCATAAATATAATCTCTAACCGATTATCCAATCTCGTTTCTACGGTATAGCTGACGGAGCACCGTGGTAAGTGAGGAGTAACACAACCCAGTAAGTGTCCAGCCGGATAATCTCGACGGGTCGCGATTCCGATCTAGTGGTAGATTCTGCGTAGCACTGCTCTTGCTGGGGCTACTGTTAGCAAATTCTCTGAGGTTTAACCTTCATGGGCTCACCTATCCGTCTGCGAGAAATTGGAAAAGCCCCTTAAGCTACCAACCACTGTAGCAAATACCCAGATTAAAAATGCTATTGGTAATAGGCACCAGAAAATCTTTGACATCAGGCGTATATGTATATAATTTCAAAATCAATCTATCTATAATTTTCATATTTGTTTCAGAAAATAAACGTTGAAATCTCACTATGAGTTACTTAGCTCATGCACAAAGAGGATTTCTCGAACTAGAAAAACTTTATGTTCTACATTTTATCAATACCAAATTCAAACGCAGAGTGCGAAAGGAAGCTTAGCGAGATTAATGGCATTAAAACCACTGATTAAAACAGAGAAGCGAAGAGATTTAACTGACCATAGATACAATCAAGAGAAATATTATCATGTTGTAGTTCATAGTTGCGTAAATTTTGGAATATGCTTTATAATATAAATTAATAGTAGTATGTAGATAAATAAATTCGTTTTTATTTAATGTAATTTTTAGAACATGGTAGGGTTTTTTATTTACTGTAAAAATCTGTATTTTGTCAGAAGATATGTATGTTCTGTAATGTCGTTTTATTATAAAAACATTGTAAATATACAAATCTGATCTGGCAGCACTGCAGAGCGTGTTTTGAAATGGTTTTGAACTGTTTTGTTTTTATTAATGCTTTTCATAGATTATACACTTAATATATTTGAGACTGCCTTGCGCTCAGAGTCAAAATGGATTTTGGTGATTACGTTTCATCTGTCCCTATTAAAGATTGTGTCGTAGGACAGGAATACTGGATAGATGTCACTCACGTAAATAATCCGCATAGTTTTTTTGTTCGCTTGATCGACTTTAGAATGGACATAGATATTCTTGAAGAATGTGGAAAGGCTGTTGAAGACTCTGAAGTAACTATAGGCAGAGTGGTCATCTATCTATCAGGGACTTTAAGGAAACATGTGAGAGGGCTGGTTTACTTTATTCATTGGCATAATGTTATGAAATGCGACTTAAAGGCCATTGATTATGGATGTACCGACATTGGTGTACCAACATCAAAAATCTATAAACCAAAAACACCAAGTAAAATGGTACCTTTGGCTATACATTGCAAGCTAGCAAACTGTGTACCTTTAAATACCGATATTTGGGAGGCTAAAACAACTGAAGCTATGCTGACTTATATTGGCAAAGAACGAACAAAAATGATTGTCAAGAATAAAATGTATAACCAGCTTTCTGTAGACTTGATTAACTCTTGCCCTGATGACATAGCAACAATGTTGGCTTACACCAATTATTCATCACTGAGCTTTGGAAATGAGATAAGTATCAGCAGGCTCAGGGCTCCAATGCCACAACTTATCGAACCAGAATTCAAGTGCCTGAATTTGCATATTGATGAAGTTCTACATGTCCGTGTCCAATCAGGAAAAACACTTGATAGCTTCTTTGTTGCCAGAACTTATGATTTTAAACAATATTCCTTGGATCACAGTGACTTTACAGCTTACTGTAAAAGTAAAAGAGTGATAGTAGACAAGGAAATAGAGGTTGGAAATTTAGTTGCCTATAAATCTTTGAGTGGAACTGCATATGAGCGAGCAGTTATTTTGGAATTAATTAAGCCTGGAAATAAATTACGTTTACAGAAAATAGATTGGGGCGATATTGTTACTGCTACACAAATGGAACTAAAGCCAATTACATGTGATATGTATATCAACAAACCAGCAATGGCCATATATTGTTCAACTGGCAAGAGCGTAATCTGGGATAATGGCTTGCATAAATTCTTGTATCCAGGCTTTGAATTTATGATCAAAATTAAGGAGCTTGGGGACGGCTTTAATAAACCAAATGTAGTTGATGTCTTTCCAGTAAACACTTAAAGATGAATAATTTAAATTACAGATGGAAAGTGCAGACACTTTTTTAAGGCAAATTTTATAGATTAAATGCAATAAATTTAAGTTACAGAAATATTAATTTTGTCATCAAATAGAGAATGTGTTTTCAAGATTTGTCAAAAATACATAATCTTCTAAGGCCTGTAACATCATAAGTAATTTATCTTAATTATAGTATTAGTCGTGATATTAGTGGTAATAGGTAATAGGTCTTTTATTTATCGATTGAGGCACTATAAAGTCTGCAGGATCAGCTAGTTTAAAAGAAATGTAAGTGAACAGAGGAGGTTTTTCTACTTTTGTAAATTAATAACATTAAATGTTCAGCCAAACTATTTTTATTTTTTTATCGACAATGATACTAAGGCAATAAAAAAATCAGTTTCGTCTTTCCCTATTTATTTTTTGTTTAATAAACTACTACTATAATACTATTTAATAAGTTTATATATTTATTAATGCCAAATAGAACATATCTATAAAGAAACTTATTTTTTTAGTCACCTATCTGCTAGCAGCCTCGAGGCTATTCAATTCTGCAAGACAAGTCTGAAAGGATTTGGTAACATTTGTGATAGCAATAGCAGTGCTTCGCTCAATCTATCATTAAGTCACAATCACGACTTACTGAAAATTTTCAACGAGAAATAGTGCGTTTTCTTTATGGGTCTAATCGCACGGTGAACTGTTCGTCATATTCGATAACTTCAACGAGAACGGTAGTCGATGCTTGAAATGCCTAAAAGCACAGAAATAGGATCTGAAAGGACACGTTAGGGCAACGGTGGCTGTTCCTGACGCCGTCGTCTGGATCGGGGATGTAATTTGTGGCGACCACGATAAAAGGTTATTGTGCCGAGCCGCCTTCTCAAAGAAACGTTCTGACGCTCTCTTCAGAAACTTACGGATCCGTTCTAATTCTAAGTCGTCGTGAAACTACACATTTTCCACAAAAAAAAATTTTTATTGCCCTTGTAGACAGACGAGCATACGGCCCACCTGATGGTGAGTTACCGTCGCCCATGGACTTCAACAATGACAGGGGCAGAGCGAAGCCGCTGCCTACCGCTTAACTCGAATCCGTCGCTTGCGACGAAGGGCTCGACGAGTAAACTAACCCTCAGACACAGCCCACTGAGTTTCTAGCCGGATCTTCTCAGTGGGTCGCGTTTCCGATCCGGTGGTAGATTCTGCGCAGCACGGCTCTTGCTAGGATTCGTGCTAGCAACGTCATCAGGTTTGAGCCCCGTGAGCTCACCTACTAGTTAAGGCAGGAGCTAGGTGTCTTGGACATGATGTGGGAGGAGCTAGAACAGACTGCCCAAGCCCGATGTAAATGGAAGGATTTGATTCCAGCCCTACACCCCAGCAGACGGTAATAGGAAAGAATGATGATGATGATACAAGATGTGAAGCTGCTTTCAGACTACGCTATACTATAGTGCCATATAGTATAGCAGCCTATACTTAGCCAATAATATATAGTACAGTACAGCGTGAACGTTTCCTCCATAGCAATGTATAGTGTGCGATATTGTTGTGCTATGAGCTATATACTATATGCTATTATATTATAGCTTAGTCTAGGCTTAAGTGTATAATATCAGACTTTTAGTTGTTTTTGCCAAATTTGCCTACGGGTTCTATGATAAAAAATAGCTATATCTTTTGATTTCGTTGACCCAGAAGCTTGAGACTTTTACAGCTTCCTTTGACCATTGAACTTCTTATTTGGCAGTTGCTTAAACTTGATATCTTATGTCGTTGTGGAGAAATACGATTCGAAGTTTCGGACAGAAATAAAAGTTATCTCACTAGGGATCCGTTTTAACTTTTAAGGATCGGACCCCTAAAAATAAAATAATATGTATTTAAGTACACAGGACTCCTTAATTAGCATTATGTTCCTTTGAAACATTGCGGATCGTAGCACATTAGATATGATCTGTTTTTATACAAACTCATTATGTGGTTAGTTCAAGAAATAATTCTAAGATATATAATATATCTTAGAATTATTTTTCCACCTACTTACCAACTACGGCAGACTCAATCTGCACGGTTCATCAGTGTGGGAAAAAGAATAATGCGTCCGTTATAAAATACAAAACTAAATTGTCTTAATAATATACATTAAGTATAATAAATATAGTGGATAATATATTATAATAAGTTCTGCCGAATCTTGAATTTTACAGGCTACCGATATTTAAAATTATTTCAAGTTTTATTGCTGACTGCTGTACAGAGAGACATGCTTTTACAACGTACCTACTATTGAGCAATGAGCGGAGCCCATACATATCACTATGTGAATGCAGCGACTGATCTTCTGATTTAAGGTCACAATCTAAATTTTATTGCTAAATTACTCGCACTTATCAAACCGAAATACATAATATATATTATGACGGCTTCGATTTCTATCGTCTCGACGGAGCGACAGAATAATTGTGAGACTTAGTACAGGCTTACGCATTGCCAACAGCAGGTATAATTAAGACCTAACGGCAGTTATCAATATTCTTTGTTCACCCTATCTCGGTCTATCTGCCTTCAAAGGAACTGGCCCTGGAATTATGATATTTCTATATTATTCATAAAGCTGACTATATGTAGTGTTCATGTAAAAATTGTAATTCGACCATAACGAAAGACATCTCAAAATTTATATTAAATAAAAAAATAACAATTGCTAATTTGAAAAAAGTTTTGGTACATGTCGATCGTTAATAGCTATTAAACAAAAAAAAAATGTACTGAAGGCAGAGTTCAACCATTTAGTCAAGGCTTGGTTAAATTGTTTCTATACCTAGTATACCTTGCAAATCACCTATAATGCTTAGAGGTAAAGTCGGGATATCGATCATGCGCCCAGACACAGACATCTATAACTCATAAATGCAACCGCGTTGTTTCCCGCAGTGATTTACGATCCAAAGTGCAGCAGAAAGTACACTGACGACAGCAGCGCAGTTGCGAATTCATTGATTTAAACGTATACTTCATTTAAGTCCTACGGTAGTTGTCTAGACGTCGTCTATTTAATTAATAATTTATATATCATCTATCTTTACATAATCTCGTACTCATGTGCTATCGATGTGCAGTTCACGCAAAAGCAAATGATCGATTGTCCATTATAGGTCCCAGCGGGTTGTAATAATTGAAACACTATTGTTTGTTCGGCGAATACAATTTATTCATCATCAGATTCTTCCATGTGGATGTGTTTTCCACTTAATATCAGGTGGGCTGTGAGCTCGTCCAACCATCCAAGCAATAAATAAATTAAAAAAATGTGGCCCTTTATGGGCCCCGAGGTAACCATTCCAGGCAATGGTCTGTCTCGGTGGTGTCGACACCGGTATAAACTTCGAAATAATACCTTGAAAGTATGCAAGATTTTTGTCAAACTTTTTTTGATGAAACATCACAACTAAACGTCCCATATTTATTTTCCTCGACCATATCTGCCAGCACCTATAAATAATTTAGATACTTTTATAAATATAACTAGCGGCCCGCTTCGGCTCCGCTCGGGCCTTTTACAAAAATCTCAACGATATTTGACGTTGTTTTTTTTTTGTAAATAAAAGAACACTTATTGCGGCATAACTATAAACTATAATAGCTAGATATACCTATGCTGTAGCGGCACTTTGTGTAAATAATAATGTGTTTTACAAAGTCCTAGTACATTATTTTATTCTATCATCAATAGTTTTCGCAGGGCACGCGATGTAAAGATTAGGTATTTTAGGATTTTTTTACACCTTGGGTTACATTATTGGAGTTTTAGTACATAAGGATCCCTAAATTAAAAAAAAAAATTATAGCCTATGTCACTTGGGAATGGTGTAGCTTCCAAACAATGAAAGAATTTTTCAAATCGGATCAGTAGTTTTGTAGCCTACGCAATACAAACAAACAAACAAATCTTTCCTCTTTATAATATTATAATAAGTTTTTTTTTATGGGATTTTAGGTATGACCTGGTAGCTAAGAACTTTAGGTCAAATCTTATTTTAATTTTAATAATACGTAGCTTTTTTATATGAAAATGATATTATGAGATGATATGAAGTTAAATATTATGAAAGATGGCATGAAGTGAAATGAAAACGAAATGAAATGAAATGAGATGAGATGATATGGGATGAAGTATAATCTCACTAAAATGGTGGTCATTTACTGAGACTTTTACAGTGGACTTTTTGGAAGATCCCGAGCAGTTACGTTCAGTAGCTTTGTTTCATTTGTGCACTTTCACAGATACTAAACAGTTAATAAACCACCGTTATTACAAATTTAAACCTGAAGAAACATTAATGAGACAAAATAAAACAAATCACACAACTTCACTCCTCGCGTTCCCGCCAAAAAGTCCATATTATAAGTAAGTATAGATAATATAGAAGTTAACGACTAGGAGAGTGCCACAAAGATGAAAATTCAATATTTTATAGTTTTCTATTTTTTTGTAAGTGTGTAATAAAAATTGCTTCAACGGGAATATAAAAACCGAGTTTTCTGTAATAGCTGGTGTATTGAGCAATAGTAAGATGCTCAATACGAATATTAATTATTGTAAATTGTATTGAGCTGGGCTGAATATTATTAAAGGAGCTATGTCCTACTTTTATTTCTTAATGTCTCAACAGGTCTTAGCTAAGGTCAGCTATTCTAGTAAAAGACAGGAATTAAGTGAATGATACTTTAAGAATAGAAACTATGCACAACTACAAACAGATACTAATGAGCAAACTAGATAATAGACATAATTATGCTGCCGCGCACTTTTTTTTAAAACATTCTTAATTGGTGCTCCGCTTGCATTGGTCTTAGCGTGATGTTATATAGCCTATAGCTTTCCTCGATAGCTGGGAATTACTACAAAACAGCGATGGCGCATTTGAAAAAAAACTGGGTAAACAAAAAAGCTCGATATTTGGGTACCTGACGAGCTCACTGAAAGAAACCTAATGAACCGTGTTCTCATTTGTGATTCTTTACTACGACGTAATGAAACCGTACTATTTTTGAAGAAGCTGATAACTGGTGATGAAAAGTGGATCACGTACGACAAGAACGTGCGAAAAAAGTCGTGGTCAAAGGCCGGTCAGGCTTCACAGACTGTGGAAGGCAGACAGGACCATCGATTCTGAACTTTACTGCGAACAACTATTGAGATTAAAGCAAGAAGTTGAGAGAAAGCGGCGGGAATTAATTAACAGAAGGAATGTGATTTTTCATCATGATAACGCTAGACCTCACACATCTTTAGCCACTCAGCAAATATTAAGAGAGCTTGGCTGAAAGGTATTAATGCATTCGCCGTATAGTCCTGACCTTGCACCTTCAGATTTCCGGTCT